GGGGACAAAAGCGCTCCACCACCACAGCGGTGAGCCACACAGCACCGCTGCACGCTAATCTGGCCCCTATTGAAAAGAGGTCAGCAGTGCACTGAGCCAGGTTCGTGAACAAAAGACAGTTATATAACACCGCACAATCTGGGCTCTGTTTACAAGGCTACAGGCCTGGCTGAAATATTCGGGCGTCAATGAAGGTCACTTGTCAAGTTAGAGTAGTGCCTAAAGATTACTCCGTGTGGCTATAAATGACTGTTAAATGGAATGATGAATTGTTGAAGGATTTTGAAAACGGAAAAAATGATAGTCATGCCGGCCCAGCATCATCAACGTTGAAAAATGCCCGGCACGAAGTGGTTAATGAACAACCATTAAGCTCGCTGCTCATGCACAATACATCATGAACAGATGCTCGAGCTGAACTTACTGCTGGAATTTACAGTTAGGTCCCTCCAGACAGAAGCCGTTGAGGTAATTCTGGCACATCACCCGCCGCACGTGTCGGTTCTTACACAGTGGACCTGGATAAAATAATCATGAAATGAATTCCTAGTAACAAGGAAGACATATTTGTATTATATGCTTCAGGGAAAACACCAAGCTTTAAAAAAAAAGGAATCCATTAAATCTGTTGATTCTGAGGTCCATTTCAAAGAGATGTCAAGAACAGAAATGTGTTAAGGAAAGTAATACGTACATAGCATGAACACATCAACAACCATGATGTCACACAATGCATTTCTATTACATGAGCGTGCAATACCCTTCTAGTGTTTTAGGAACCAACTAAAGCAATCCAGTGTTACTCTGTGGTTGGCAGTTTCCATATCTTTTTGCACTGTCCCTGTTTCAGGTGCTACAGAAGGCCATAAAATCCGAGCATGTAATGTGGGAGGTACACTGAGAACCATGACCCAGGCAATGCTGTCGATTTTTGAACTCAGATATGATACTGCCTGCCATGATACTGATATGATACTGATACTGCCAGTCCTAACCTGGTCGGATTTTCTCTTGGCACAATCTTACTTCTATAACAACAGTGGAATACATCTCAATTGGCAACCATCGTGAATACAACGAAATGCAACATGATGCAACGTTGAAATTGGTTGCACTGTGCAGTGTACTAGACAGATACCAGCCTCACCATTCCAGTAGACCCTGCCTCCTACATTGACTGCTGACTGCTCAAAGCAACAATGGACAACTTGAAACCACGGTTGCATTTTGTTGCATTTTAGCACAACTAGGGATAATACATTCAATCAGAGCTCTCCTTCTACGCATCCAAAAAGAATAAATGAAAGTAGGACTGATGATAAATTGAAATTACGCCTTGATGTCAATTAAAGAAGAAAACAAAAAGCAGGGAAACCCACCGTGTTTACAGAATCCCCTGTCATACCACGGGCAATCCTTGACTTTACTCTCCGGGTCGATGTGAAGAAATGGACATTCCTTGTTGCTACACATACCTGCAGAGTAGACAAACCGCAACGGAAGTCACCAACAAGAAATCTGTCTCACAGGGCCTCGGGAACTGACTCCATTCATGAAGCATTGACAGCTTTGCATGACCCCATCACCATCATGCTCCCAACCCTAACTTCCCAAATCCTCCAAAATCCTCTGAGTGGTATTTGCAGGTTTGGCCGTTCTCAGGGTGGTTTGGGACCTTTGAGGTTTTCAAAGCTTATGGAAATTTCCAGTTTGGTGAGAGACAATGGTGTAATATCAGAGCCTTCTTCACGCAGTGAGTTATCCAGTCGTATGCCTACTGGGGGAGAGTGGACTTCTCCCCCAGTAGGGGTTCCTTACCCCTGGGTGTTCTCCCCTCCCCATTTAACATTTCAAAATGTACACAACCTCCATACAAGCCACGTTTCATTTGCTTCCAACGCCCTCTTGAGAAAGTGCATACATCCACGGGTACCACCCCCTCCCAAATGTCACCCCGGAGTTAAGGCGCCTTTGCACATGCGCGTCAACACTTGTGCTAAGCACTGCATATCCGAACGCAGCGCAATGTGTGTGCTATGTTAATGGGTCAATTTTTGTGTCCATGAAAGTGAAACCCATGAAGACATCATGTATGCAATGCATCCAATGTACATATACATGTATGGAAAGGCATCTTTGCACCAATCCAATTGTCCGAGCTGCTTTCCTCATGTAATAAGTGAGCTTCTTTGAGCCATCTTTGAGCTTCTTTGTTCTCTGTCCTTTCACCAGATGGTGGGCAATCAATAAGCAAACATGGGGTATAAATTGCAACAATGAGTGACGTCATCTGACATTGTTCAGGTTATCGAAAGCACAGATTCTCAAAAATGTAAAAGAGAGCAACCAAACCTACTTGACAGCAAGAGCGACCTAAGATCTTAAGAAATGGCACAAATTCTTGAAGCCTTCACCATTTCTCATTTGCGACCTGCTCAGTAAGAATGAGTCACGAGTCGCCAGAGCCACTTTGAGTAACAGGCCTTGAAAAGATTCTTGCACCATGAAAATCAATGGGAACCATCAACATTTTCAACCACCCGATGTCCATTTCTTAGTTAAAATAAGCAATGCATGAAAACAAAGAGATAAGCTTCTTTCCGATTCTAACCAAAACAAAATGACTGGGGAAGAAAAATGGCCCGATGACTCATTTTCAAAGAGCAGGTCACACTTGGGGAAAACCAAACTCGGGCTTACCAAACTTTGTGAAGAAGAAACACTCGGGCATTTTGGTCATGTCGTACTGGTGAAGGAACTCGCACTCATCACCCTTCTTACACAACCCCCTCAGCCAGTGTTTGCACACCACGCTTTTCTCACCCCCAACGTGGCGGTAGGGACACATCGCCCCCTTGCTGCAGCTGTTCTGCTTGTAGAACTGACACACCGCTGCACCTGATTCTGTGGAGATGACAAATGCAAGTGCATATGAAAAAGTGAAACTCAAATCATCGACATCCTGTACTTTTGTTGGGTGCGATCGACTGATCAGCACAATCACTCTATCTTTGCATGATCTATCGATCTTACTGCACGATCTGCCAATAATTCCTCTTTCGGCCAACTGCCTTTCCTTTTTGAAAAAGGGATTGAGGATAACTCAATATATTGTTGATTCTGGCAATTAAAGATGTATGTTCTGTTCTGAGCAGAGGGTCCTGAAAGAAGGGTTGCCAATTTAAATCGCCCTGGTTAAAATTGTCAATTTAAATTGAGATTTAAATCAAACGATTTTAAAAAATTTAATGACCTAAATCAGTTTTTAATTTTTTTTTCTAAAGAACTTTATCCAACTGATTTGTAATTTTTTTAAAGAAAAAAAAAAGATTGATATACATGCTTGAAATCAATGTGCGCACTGACCAGAGACGAAAGACTTTTTAGGCCTTAGATTCAACATAAGAATCGAAGGATAATCATGATTTAATTTGATACAGAGTACCAAAGTGTGACATCACTGTGAACTAGAAAGTGCAGTGCAAGCGAATGGATTACGCATGCGTGTTGGTTCCTCCGCTGGTTCTCGCACTAATGCCTTTTACACACATAATTGTGCATGTGATGTATTCATTTTACTCTATAAAGTGTCCACCTCCGAGTTTAACATGGTTAAATCTGTGAATCAGAGTAGCGTACATGTACATCTGTCTTTCACAGTTCACTCATGTCTGCTAGCCTGACAAAATGCCTGACGAGGGCCAACCGCCAGTTTTGTTCTGGTCTTCTTTCTTGCTCTACAATGGCAAATCTCCCCACATTAAGGCTCCCCACTCCGAGCCACACAAAAGAGGGCATTTTTTTTAGTACTCACCGCATAGGCAGGTGCACGTTTATAATGGAGATCAATGGCGTATTTCACATGGACCTCGCGGAGTATGCGCAACCAATTTATTCCTTAACCCTAACCCTCCTCAATCCTTCACCTATTGGAGGACTGAGGAGGGTTAGGGTTAATGTATGGTCTTTGCGTACATGCAGATTTCTATGAATGGTAGTTTACATCCCTTTGTTCAGAGTACCAAGAAAAAAAAGGGGGCCAAAACCATGCCACAAAGATTGCTGCTTGTTTGCATCCACGTGTGGCCTCAACAGAAAGTGTTTAATGTGCGACAGCGTGCTCACGTGCACTGGTAACCAATGGCTGTTGCTTGTCATTCCTGCAATTTTACATAAATACTGAGGAGCCCTCTGATTGGTCAGTGACCTCCCAGCGTGCCGCAGCCAACTACCATTTCAACCAGCGTGGCTAAGAATCACACACGTTTCCCTGTCTTGTGTATCAATCGCAGCCGTAGTCAACCATTTTGTCGTCTTCACAAGTACATGTGAACCGCATGACTCTCGGACACTGATTGGGAAATATTTGCATTTTTTTTTTAAAACAGCATGGGTTTGGTCCATTTTTTCCTGGTACTCAGAACAAAGGGATGTAAGCTACCATACATAGAAATCTTGGGGGAAATGGAGCAGCATTTCCATAGGTACACAACTAGAGTAAAATCCCTGTTGGTGCTGTGTTAAAAGTCGTGCAGAGCCTATGGCAAAAAAGGCTCAGTTTCTATGAGGTTTGTAGGAGCGGGGAGCAGATGCTGGACCCCACAGTTCTTGGGGTAAGATGAGACTATGTCACACGATGATTAACAAACATGACAAATATGGCTACACACAGTTGTTGGCATAGTGTAAGTGGCTCCGATCTTACATTATTTTCATCATACTTTACACCCAAAACTTGATGCAAATGGTAGCCTAGTAGTAGTAGTACTAGTACTAGGCCTAAGACAAATTTCAGTTTTTTACAACACAATGCAAAATGCTTTTTAAAAATATAGAATTTGATGCACAGAAAGGGCAGAAATCATTGATTGAAACCAAACTCTTTTACACGCTCTCAGATATAAAATTTAGAGGTACCGTTTCGATGGACTCTACTAAAGGAGTCTTAGTCTAATTTTATTACGAAACTGGTGCAACATGAGGGCAAGAGGCCATGACTTACTATCCATCCCAGGGAAGGGTAATGGCTGTGATCCTATTTGCTGCTCCAACGCCGTCTCCAAATCAAACCGCAAGCAGTCCACGTTTGCAACTATAGTTTCCATTTCTACGTGATTAATCGGTCAAGTTCAATCATTCAACAGGACATGTAGGCCTAAGTGTCACACAGGAGACAGTCAATGCACCAGCAACACATAAAAAGAAACCATGATAAATGATACGCGTTCAAAACTACGCCCTCTAGTGGTGCACAAAACTGAACTCGAGATTTGGGGGGGGGCGGGGTAGCGCTCTGTACACATGTGCATGGAGCCCGTGACGGCATCTAAACGATGACTTCAGCAACGGTAGCAATGGCATGTACCTGGATCATTTTTGCCGGAAGCCGGGGCGGGTCTGCAGTTGGTTTGGGGTTAGGTTTGGAAGTAACGTTTTAAAGTTTCCCTTCATTACAGACAATTTGCCTTTCCACAAATCATACTCTAAATAAGACAATGCTTATTGTTTTATTTTTACAAATAATCCCAATGGAATAAAATTCAAAGAAAAAAGTAAAAATTCTGGCAAATTTAGTGTACATAATATATAGCTGTAATATAACTGCATCTTCCTGAACTGATCAACAAATTGTCTTATAGATCCCATTTTCTTATAAATATGCAAAGAAAAATCCAACGACGCACGCCACACAACAATTGCCCCCAGCACAAATAATAGCTTTATTGATTACAATGTAGTTACACAGTTTTTAAGCCAAAGTGTAAACAATAGTGTTTTCGACGTATTTACAAGATGGAAAAATAATCCCAACAGGGAACCGAAATGACCCTGTAAAACCGCTTTATACTTGCGCATAATGTGGCTCTTTTATAAAGGTCCCTTTATAGTTTCCTTAACAACCCAAGCTCCACGCAAACAGTATGATATCAGGAAAAAATGATAAGGTTAAGCCAAGAAGTTGATGGAAAGTAACATTTGCTGACATATTGCAAAGAGCATAAAAATGACCAGCTGGCTTTCTTTCTTGCATCTATAGGCCTGTTTGACCGCAAGTTTACATCTGTTGAACAACACGATCGTCTTCCGATTTTAATTCATTAAACATTTACACCATGCTGGTCCTTTATGACGTGCCGATATTTACAAGCATGGTACCTCTGAGCCAGGTTTAAAAAGTGTAAGGCATTATTTCCCAATAATAACCGTGTTGTTGCTAAAGGCTACGAGACCACAAAAATTAAAGGCAAAGGAAGTATATACCATGCAAGTAGGACTTAAACAATAAGAAAAAGTTATAAATTATCAGAGTTTTCTTGTAGACAGTAATGCAAGAACGTGTATCGTCTGTACCCCATCGAAACGAGAGCATGTGCAAATTTACAATGATAATAATTGTGCAGAGAATTTTCAATGGTAATTTAAACCTTTGGGAAAAAAAATCGCACTTTAAAAAATTGCATTATACAGTGGTGTATCGAAGGAGGGGGCAAGTTACGCCCCTGGAGACATGCTGTCATCTTAAAGGGACTGAAAGAGGAACATTTGTTTTTCCACCAGACCTGGATACGCCACTGGCATTACATTAAACCCCCTTGAAGGCCCACGTGCCATGTAAATTTGAAAGTTGATAACTGCGAGACGAAACAAACGAATTGAGACATGGCGAAATTAACGTTGTCATGCTGAATCGAGTTGATCAGGCCTAGATGCCTATTTCTCATTCAGTGCAGCAGTGAGTAAGTTGATCGGCAGCGGGAAGATGATGGTGGAGTTCTTCTCGGCCGAGATGGAGTTGAGGGTCTGAAGGTAGCGGAGCTGGAGGGCGTTGGGCGACTCTGAGATGATGTCGGCCGCCTCCTTCAGGGCGCGGGAGGCGTTCTGCTCACCCTCGGCGGCGATCACCTGCATTCGGTTTAACACGAAAAACGTAAACGCAAATTTTTGTATTAGACGAAGTGAGTAATACACAGCAAACGATTTAATGCCGATTATCGCTGAGTTTTTACCGTGCAGTTAAACTATCAAATGCGCGTGCACATACGTGTATATGTGTGTGTACTGGTGGTGTGGAGTTGTGATCGAGGAAAAACACAAAATGCCGACAATGCACTAATATACAATTGATTTGTAGAGTGCCGAAATGCAATTGATTTCTAAAGTCGTGCACCTGTTTTCCATAGAGCAGTCTAGCCTGCGTGCAAGAGTAACCGAAAAGTTAACCTTTAATTATGCAGTACTGCTGCTAAAATCAATTTAAATTCATCTTCATTGAAGACCCAGAGGAGGAAAATATGCGCGTTTTCAAACCAAACAGGGGAGAAGCCGAACGGCAACTGCGTGTTGGGCTTACCTTGGCACGAGCCTCCCTCGACGCTTCAGCCTCGGCAGCCATGGCTCGCTGCATCTGCCTCGGTAGGCGCACGTCTTTACTGCCATTGACATTTCACACCGAAATTTGTCAGTAATGTTTATAGAAAGACTATAAAAAGGTAAAGCTGCTAGTTCTTTTATGTACGATATTTACAGAAAACAATGAAGAAAGAGCCTTTAGCTGCATTACGCAACGCAACAAAGAAGGGTAGTTTTTTATATCTGGTGGTAAAGCACCGATTTACTTCATAAAAAATCGGACCAGAATGGATTGCTTCCTCAATTACTGTTGGGCTTCGAAATACCCAACTGGAGGAGAAAAGAAGGAAAACTTCAAACTAAAGTTTTACATCCTAACCTGAACTTAAAATGAATGTACATACATTGTTTATGTTTCCTTATATTTACCCAGAGTTGTTTCAAGGGTCACTGAAAAATATCCGGTGAAAAATTTATTGGAAGGTTATATAAACGCTACAATTATCTCTTTCAAAACTTTGCTCCTAAGTGCAAAGACAAGACGCCTAGAAACCGCCGGCTCTTGAGTTAAAAAGGCTAAAGCACTTCCATCTCAACGTCAACACACGCGGTGCAAGAAAACATAGGCCTATTCCAAGTGCTTTTGTTTCGGTGACTTAATACACTGCTTTATATCGCTATTCTAAAACCTTTCTTTTTTTCATTCGGGCCCTAAAGACACGCTCAATACACCTTAATTCGGATCAATCGACACCCCTCAACTTACATCTCAACCCTTTCCACCTTGACCCCCCAGGGGTCGGTGGCCTCGTCTAACAGAGACTGCAAGGTGTTGCTGATCTCCTCCCTGTGGCTCAACGTCTCAGCCAGGGTCTTGGTGCCCAGGACGTTACGCAGGGTGGTGGCGGCAAGCAGCTCGGTGGACCGCTTGTAGTTCTCCACGTTGATGACCGCCATGGTGGGGTCTTGCACGCGAAAGTAGACCACTGCGTCAACAGTTACCGTCACACTGTCTTTGGACAGAATCTGAAAACGAATCGATCCCAAATTTTTTTTTAATGCACCATGAATGTAACGCTTTGAAATTTTAATGAAAACGATGCGTAGGGGAAAACAAAGCTTTAGACTACCTCTTGGGGTGGCACGTCAAAGGAGAATGTCCTGAGGTCCACCACTTCCAGTTCATCGATGCAGGGGACGATGAAGAACAGGCCAGGTCCCTTGGGTCCGCCGGGCAGTAGACGCCCGAGTCGAAACAGGATGGCACGCTCATACTCAGCAATTGTCTAAGATTATTTTTAAATTGAGGTTTTAGTTTCAAGATTAAATACGATTTTAAGCCTTCCATGGTGGAAATGTAATGTGGTAGGCCTAAACCTTGCTGCAATATTGGCGGCTCTGGGGCGTTCATTGTGAGTCAATGCCCCCGCCCCCTCCCAAGGAGAACAGATAAAAATAAATAAGAGCAAAGAAAGTCCGTTTCATTTTCTTCCCTTCCGTTCCTTCTGCAAGCGGGTAATATGTACAAAAACATTAATCTGAACCCTCAGGAAATCAATAAAAGGCTATCCATTAAAAACTCCAAATTTTGGACCACTCCCCAAATAATTTAGTGCCCAAGATTTGGTTCCGGATCCACCCCTGTGCAGTGACGCCCACAGGAATAATCTCTGCTGGGAAGCAGTGAGGGTATGATACCATCGACTCCTAGTATATAAAAAGATATTTCAACACAGATTAACGGACTTCGAAAATACCTGTGCGAGGATGGGATTGGTGCCTCAAGGAATCATCCTTATTTTCATCGTGGGCAACGATCTGAATGCCCAAGGAAAGGGCTCGATGGTTCATTTCGATGAATATTTATCATATGGAAATGGTTGTGATTGTGTTACTTATGACAGGAAGAACAAGAAGATAGGGGGCATTTTAGCCAAACAACAGCGTAGGCATAGACGCTTCAGGCATCCGACGCCCCAACCCTAACCACCCACCATCTCCAACACTGCAGTCAACCTTTCTTTTTCGCCTATAACTGATGCTGAACACAAACCTCTCTCTAAGGGTGTTCATTTCTGTCCCACTCCCCCCACGGTGAAACAGGTAGAACTCAGCCACAATCTCACAGAATACTTCTGCAGGATACGACTTAAAGAATTTTTCTTTGACTCTGCTCCGTGCGACCGGGAGCCCCTCCGTGTCAAAGCACCTGGGTACTCCCTGAGAATTGTGTACCAGCCCCTGAGACCTACGCACAGGCTGCTCATTGACAAGTGAATAACCCTAATCATTTTCGTCATACTCCTCATGATAATCTCTCCAGGGATGAGCGTTCAGCACTCAACTTCCTGCGCTCGCGCACTGACATCATCATCAAGCCGGCAGATAAAAGTTCAGCTGAGGCAATTATGGACCGACAGCAATACATTGATGAAGCCCATCGCCAACTTAATCATACTAACTGTATCCCCTCGATTCTGACCCCACGGGAACATTCTCACAACAGATTCAGCCGGTACTAGATGATATGCGTTCACGTGACCAACTATATCCCTGAAGGTTCATAAGTTTCTGTCCCCTATTGATTGTAGAACCGCCAGGTTTTACGTACTCCCCAAGATCCACAGGGCAGGTAATCCAAGGAGGCCCATCGTTTCTGGAAATGGATCACCCACTGAACACATACCATTGTTCAGAGACATTTTTCTCAAATCCCTCGTTCCACAGATCCCGTCATATATCCACGACACGCCAGACTTCCTACGTGAGCTGGAAAACATCATGAACCAGATTCCCAGCACAGTCATCATTGGAACCTTTAACGTTTCTTCTCTATACTAAAATTCCCCATAGAAGGTATTCGTGCCTGCTGCTCTGCTCTAATGAAGAGCAGACACACAACTCCCCCATCAGTGATGTCGCGACGCTAATGAGACTTGTACTAACCAAAAACAATTTTTCCTTCATGGGCAAACACTATCTACAGGTACATGGCACAGCTATGGGCACCCACATGGCTCCCTCCTTTGCTTGGCTCTTCATGGGTAACCTTGAAGAGCGCATGCTTACTTCAGCACCATGCCGCCCTTGGATCTGGTGGAGATACATTGATGGTGTACTTTTTCATCGGGACCAGTGACAGTGACATCTTCATTAACCATATCAATTCTTTCCACAGGTCAATTAGGTTCAATTCGGAATACATGTATTCTCTCCATCAGGCCAACTTTCTCGAAGTCAGCATCTGGAAGGAGAACAACCTCGTGAGAACTGACCTGTATTCCAAGCCCACAGATACCCATCGGTATCAGCACTCAGGCTGAGACGTATTTGTTCTAATGAATCGGATACATTCTCTGGACACTCCTCCGGTACCACCCACAGAACCAAAGGCACTATCACTTGTAGTTATTTTGTCATATATCTTATGTCTTGCAGGGTGTGCAGTGTTCAGTATGTCGGAGAGACTAAGACCAATCTCAAGAAGCGTTTCTATGGCCACAGATCTGCGGTCAACTCCAAACGACTAGATACCCCTGCAGGCCACCACTCCAACCTTCCTAACCATTCTATGTCTGACATGATCTTACAGGGCATAGAATCTCTTGGGTTCCGTGAAGATGCTGTTCGCTTCAACAGGGAGAAGCTTTGGATCAAACGCCCCCGTTCCATACAACCCCATGGCCTGAACATCCAAGAGGGAAACTACTAATCAACACTCTTTTCTTTCCCGCTCTTTTGTCTGCAGATTATATCCCCCTCCCACGTGGGGTCAAGTTCCATCCATTACATTTTTCTTTGATCTCTTCCCACCTTACATTCCTTTGTAGTTCAACCATGCCTTTCATGCAGTCCCTTCACCCCTTGCCCCTATATCCAGCCTGCAGCTTTCTTGACCTCTCCTTTTGTCCTCTTGCATTTATCCATGCTTGGTTGATTCTCTGTTTGCTTGTTTGTCTTGTCCACTTGTCATTTTGCCTTTGAGAAAGATTCTGCTAGGATCAAGATGTCAGGCCCTCCATATTTTGAGATATGAAAATGGATTTATAATAATGATAATAATGATTATTAAACAGATGTACACGACACACGTTGTTGGAACTCTAACTTGGTGATAGTTTTTTTGGTCTAAACAAAAATGTATGTTGACTTACTTTGTCCAACGCCAGCTCGCAGATACCTACTTACCTTGAGACAAAACCAGATGGTGAGCGGGAATGTTAAGGAAATAAAAAGAACAGAGAAGAACCAGAGGACGTACGTGCAGCAAGTCATCTGTCCAACGTCTAGAGGTGGAAAACACAATCGAGACATTATGTGCCAAATATCTTAAGGAACTTAAAAAGGAAGGGGTATAACCTATAGCTTGAACTACTGAACAAAATTGTGACAAAAACGCGAATGTTGGGGGTAAAGTGCTTCCCGGGCTGCCTCCCTAACTCAAGACTTATATTTCCACTTTGTCTACATTAATTAGGAATGTAGCGTACAGAATTTTAGTGGCGTACTGCGGTGAAACGTCTTGGATCATCCGTGGTGAACAATAATCGCTCAAAGCAATTATGCAGGCGCTTGTAAACGTCAAGATTTCGAGGGGTCACGGACACACGTTATGCCAGTGGAACTTATAATAACCAGAGATCCACTCAAATGCTATGTGTAGTGGCTATCATTATAGCTAACGAAATCCTCGTTAGCGACTTTACATCTTGTTTCCTACACTACAATAATTTGCTTACCATTTCTTTCCTGCATATACAACCGTCGGCTTGCGCCACGTTTTGCTCTGCCAGCCGGCTGCATGCTTGCGCTCGCAACAAGTGGGAAGTTTTCAGCCTCGTTCTGTGTCATCAGAGCTGCTGAACGCGATACTTATATGTTAATATTTGATCGGATGTAAGTGTGTTTTAGTAAACCGAAGCAGCAGTTTTCGAAGCCCACAAGAGACCGCCAACCTTTGAAGTTTGATCGATTCAAGTGCAAGGTCGGTGTGCACGTGACTAAGCCCCAAGCTGCGCGAAAGGGTAAGAAGATTAATGGAGTACAGACTCGCTTCGAGCATAAACAAGCAATCCGGTGAAACTTTGGGTGTCTGCGTGCTGACACGTTGGACCTGCTGCTGGTGTGCTTTCCCCAGAGGAACATCAATGTGCGCGTGAAGTTTGTTGAGTGCAATGACGCCAATCTCTTTCAACGTGATCGCATTATTTTCTAGCACGTGAGCACTGACTAGTTTTTCCCATGTCCTTCCGTTTGATGTGAAAGCAGTACTGATAATCTGGTTATACGATGATCGAAGAAACACATGATGGAATAACTTAGTGTTGCGTTGTCACGTCTCCTACGACAGCTACAAGCTGCCACGGAGGCACATATAACCTCGTCTTTTCGTGTTGGACACTTTCGGACTTCGGGGAAGGGTGTTTTAGTACTTGGCTGAACATGCCACGAATTATCTTCGCCAATCGAGCTATCACAATTCAAAGTTTAGGGTTATCTCGTAAGTCAAGCAATTTCTGAGGAATTATCTAATGTTTCTGAAAGTTAACGGTCGGGAATGCCACCATTTTCTCATATCAACTGCAGCGGCCAGTGACACTTTTTTTCTGAGGGTTGTGAAATATTCACTAAAATATTTCTTGTCTTCTGTAGTCACTCGAAGGCAAATGACCTATGTAGTTCTACCGAGGGACGGTCACCAGTATCCAGAGTAACAGGTGATTATTTCCCACCGTTGGTTCAATGCAAACTTCTGGATTGTTACAGAAGATGAATACTGCACAATTTATGTGCACCGAATCGCCTCTCTTCAAATATCTTTTGTGCGTGTGTGAAAACGGCGCCACTAATCAACCCCAGTCCCTTTCCACAGAGAGTACAAACTGCGTATAGACAGACAAGTTCCTGTTACACCCACGAACTGTTTGATCATCAAACTTTCCACTGAATGACCAAATTTGAGAATTCCTCCAGAGATGAATTTTTTGAGGGAGTTTGATGTTCGCGTAGTGCTGAAAACATCTGCCCCCATCTAAGAAATCCGCCTTCTGATTCTTCGTCACTCGTCAGCAAATATTTCAAATTTCACAAATCCAAGTTTGCAAACAGCATTGTATTCCAATATTTATTTCTGGTGCACCTCCCCACTCGGGCAAATTAAGCTTCGTCGAAACCCAAGACTGAAAAAAGCAGTGTAAGGACTCCCGAACGAGTCAATACGACAACGAAACAGAATTCTAACGAAAGTCAACGTGCCCACAAAAAAGCAAAATAAACTCTGCTTTCCAGTTTCAGAATCGATGTTTCAAAGGAACACGACCAGAACAGGCAAAGAACAAGTTTGTTCCATCCGCTCTCTGCATTTTTTACTTTCGAAAGACAGACATCGTGTACAGGAAATGGTTATACAAAACACTATATCAAACACCCCAAATCACTGCATAAGCATTGACATGTAATGTATACCGTAGGGTTTTACAGTGCGAGTACTCCTGAATACACATTATGCTAAATGCTGTCTCAGCAGGTTTTAACTACCAGAGTACATGTACATGTATAGTGTATGGTACTTCTCAGCCTCTGTAAGTTTGACAACACATGTCAACATTCAAGGCACGGAACGTGAAGGCAGAAATCACAGAGTAAATTTTGCCTCTTTGAAAACAATTTGAGGAGTGACAAATGGTAAATTGGTTTCCACAATAGTTAAGTTGATGTAATGAGTTTCCAAGTGCGTCCCTGTACACAACTCGAGGAAGTGCAACTGGTGTGAGACCAGTTTTGTAACGCAGGATTTGGTTGATACAAGTTGCACTCCATGCATGAATACCAGAAAACAAATCCATCCAGTTAATTACTTCATAAAAAATGAAAAGTGACAATATCAAGAACACTGTTAATAATTAAAAACCGATAGGTGTACACGACTAAATAGGATTAAATTGAAAAATATTTACATCATTCCAGCAACTAGCTAACTTAAACACAACATTTTTGATTGTTGTGCAACATGCATTTTTTCACCTGAACGAAACACACAGCGTCCAAGGCGGCGCCAAGGGTTCCCGTCGCGATACTCCGGAAAAAAACTGTGGTGTTAATTCAACACCCTGGGTATTATCAGAGGACTACATCAGAGTGGGTGTGGTCCTCTAATAACACCAAGGGTGTTGTATTAACATCAATCTAACCCCCCAGTTTTTGCAATTTATGCGTTCTCTGGGAAATTGCAGTGACACAGAGGTCACATCACGAAATTTCCACCCATTTCTTTGTTATATCGTGCCGAAAAAGACACCAGTGTGCTCTACAGTTACGACTTACTCTGCAAGAAATGCAACCGCTGCTCGCTGCAAACGCTGCAGATGGGCGGGCCTCCGACATACCGAGGCGCAGGACTCACCACGCACCTCGGAAGCGCAGAGCCTTTGCAGCACCGCACTGGCGGTACACAGTAACGGCAACTCTTTTTTTTTTTGCGTAAAGTAGCGACGTTGCACTCATTTATACAAACTACAATAACACACCGTTGCAGATCAATGAAATAAAAGTATCCAAGACACGATATAACAAAGGTACAGCTTATTAATAATGACGATTACAATCCATTTTATATTAAGCGATTTGCCCTTCACCGACGTAAATATTTACAAATACTAAGTGTCGACAAAAGACTTGTGAAAAAATCCTACTTTAATGCGTACCCACGGGTAGTTAGATTTTTAACAATGAATTGCAAAAAAGCCAATTTTCTTTTTTTTGGGGGGGGGGGCACATGTATAGGTAAATCTAAAATATGTCCAAGTATAGGGGAAAAGGTAAGCAGCAACTTTGTTCCAATTTTTGCAAATACCTTAAAAAAGACTGAACTCACTGCAAGTCCATAATACAAAATCTAGCTTACATATACTTGTGCACGAACGGAGTTCAACCTTTCGATATTCTGTGACATTTACGCAATGACTCTACGCCACAACGCAAAATATTTGTATCATGGAATGCTTGGTCTTGCGACATTCAAATTTTCATTTCATTTCCTTTCAGGCTTCTCAATCTTCCATTGTACCTATAAACGGCCGTAATGAGTGAAATACTCGTTTAAAATGAGCATTTGGTGAAAATGACACAAAGATTCAGAAAAGAGTAATTGTGAAACATACGCAGCGTAAGTATAGTTACATGATGGAACATCCTCTGTGCTTACTATACGTTCACACTCAACCGCCTATTTGAAAACCCTTATTTTCCTGACGGCACAAAAACATGGTGTGGTTGCGTCCACCACCAGTAGCGTAGTGAGTAGCAAAGTAACAAGCTATTCAAATGAACTGACAAAAGCATTATTGTTTCATCGTTCACCCTTTCACTTGTGACTGGTCTTTTAAATGGACTGGTGTCTGGACATGTGAAGTGACTTGTCATGGATTCGACTACGACACTGTACCAAATACACGTACAGTACATTACAAAAGGGATCTTAGGGATGTCCATGCAGCTAATCAAGTGATTTTCTTATACGACATCGATTTCACATAAGACAGTAATTTATAACTAACCTGTGACTACTAGCTAACACCAGAATTTTTCAATTCCTGCTATCTTTATCTGACTGTATTAATACAAATTGATGCATAAAGACAAGTCGTAGTTGTTAAGGCCCGCTGACACTGAAACGTGCGCTGCTCTTCAAAATGAAATCACAATGAAACAAAAGGATTAAGAACTGCCTGGCCTTACCTGAAAAGTAATACACTGTGTTCCGGTAATACTGAAAGTTAGTCTACAACTTCTGAAAACAAGTGAATACAGAAAAAAAAATTGTAGCGGTAAAAATGTAGAAATGAAAAAAAATAAATAAATATATATATATATATCCTTCTGCTTGAACAGCCATTGGCTAATATTCTGCATTGCTCTTTTGTAGCTCACTTTATGAGGTCAGTAACGCCGCATGATGTAGTGACATGGGACATTAACAAGTGCACAAACGTACAAATGATTACAAAGAGAATGACCGACATAGTAGTCCTTGTACAAATATGGTACAGGTGCATTGTATCCATTAACAATTATAAAGGACACTCTAGTCTCTATGCCTGTTCGAACTTTATTGTGAGTTGAAGAGACGACTTAACTTCATCTACATCGACTTCAAAGCAGTTTTTGACTCTTTTGACAGTGAGCAATTGGGGTCCCATACTCTGTTCTACTGAGGATGTACTACCCTCGGGATCTGTGCTCCAGGATACAGCAAATGGGTCTTTCTCACTGCCTCAGAAGTCCGTCAGGGATGCATCATCATCTTGGTCTTACTCTGCTGTCCAGTGGACTGGATCCTAAGACACTACCAACAAGACCTTGGAATCAAGATCAGTGATATATGCTCTTCACTGACTTCAACTATGGCGTGACATGACCTCACTCTTGGAGAATCAGAACAGCAAAACACTTCCAAGAGGCTCCACGAAGCAGGCTGAACATGTGGCAGTGCACAAATTGTCGGCCAATAAGAAGATCCGAACACTGAGTGGGTCACTGCCTATCCCCACCTCCCTGGAGCCGCCAGCTGGAGGTGGCATCCTGCTTTCAACCTTAATACCTGGGTGATTAAATGTCGGGCAGGTGGATACAGAGAAAGATGATGACAACAATGCCCTTGACACCGTGAAAAATAAGCCAAGTGAGAGGCAAAGTACTGGAAATTATACAAGTGCCTTCAAATTGTAGCACTTCTACCCTGGCAAAGAACCTACGTACCATGAAAAAGAATAATTCATGCGTACAGGTGTGTACAAAAATACTCATCTCTAGCTAAAAACCTACCAGGATCTATGGAAGCCCATCAGCCTTGTGAACTCTGTTCACAACTTCACAGTCAGTGGTAGTAATGCCCAATGTTACCCACCTTTGTGCACGTTCAGTTGAAAAACAAAAGCTCGGCGTGCATCCGACTATATGTGCATGTGAATGAGTGCACATACCTCCTGTGCTCTTTCTTGACTCTGTGAGTTCTTTCTTGCCTTTTGTACAGTTGGTGCACAGAGTCCACAAAACGCTTAGTCTAATCGTAACACTGCAGTGAAACCATGGAGTATACATGTATACCACAGAAACCTTGGTGGGTCTATGTGACACCTTGGGTTGGAGTGTCTCTTGGTACTTGATATACATGTACCTGTTAACAATAAAATGTTGCTTGATGTGTGTTCATTGTTTGCATGTTGTGTTTTGTTGTGTTTAATTCTGTTGTGTTGTCTTGTTCTGTTGTGTTCCGTTTGTTACTTGGCATTGTGTTGTGTTCAATTCTGTAGTGTTAAGTGTGCTTGTCAATTGTATAACCTACACACTGCCTACTGGTTCAACAGCTCCACACACACGCTAACTACAAACTGCACATCCTGAACCAGGCTGTAGCACCAGATGGAGGGTGGGGGGGTCATGTATCTCAAGTAGCAGGAGTATGTATGGGTGCTGTTCTAGGACTCGACCTGACGTCTCGTACAGCAAGCCCCACAATGCTGCTAAACAAAAAAATGGGTTTTTATCCTACAAACACTGCTTGGCCAAGAGTAAACGTCAAAGACAAACTTCATGATGAGGTTAGGCTATAATAGACCTGGGCTTATTTATAACTGTGCTTGCATATTTGGAGGTAATACGAGTAAAACCTGTGATAGTAGAAGATACCTAACCACTTACAAAAATGGTTTCAATCAAACTTTAGGGAGATTCGAGAGGAGGCACAAGGCACCGATAGGGTCATGAAGAGGAATCTTCTACTTACGTAGCTTACCTCTTCCTAGAAAAATGTTGGCACCAGTTTCTGAAAACAATTAGTAAAAATCAGACTCAAACAATGTCTGAACACTTTGAACGAGCTGGGTGCAAGTAATTCTGACTGTCAATACAATGTTTTCATTCTACAACAAATCTATGATTTAAACCTCATTACTGATAGGACAGTGCAAAAGAAATGTTTGTTTAAACTGCAGAATTCCCTCCACTCATCTCTAAATAACCAGTTCATAATTTCAACTACTGAAATACACACACTCTTAATTAATGCAAAAGCTGACAGACAAAAAGAAAGTGCTCTACGAAACGTTTATCCCTGGTGAATCTTTCTCCAGGGTTGAACTGAAACCTGGGTGGGCGACGTCTCCACCACTGCACCCTAGGTGAGGAGTGGCTGGCTATTTCTTGTTCATGAAGCCGGTCAGCAGGTCAACGGGGAGCGGGAAGATGATGGTGGAGTTCTTCTCGGCCGAGATGGAGTTCAGGGTCTGCAGGTAGCGGAGCTGGAGGGCGTTGGGCGACTCGGCGATGATGTCTGCCGCCTCCTTCAGGGCGCGGGAGGCATTCTGCTCACCCTCGGCTGCGATCACCTGTTTGGAGGAACCAAATTTGATGGCATGAGCCATAGGATTGGCTGCAAGTGGAAGTTTCAACAGTACCTTTGTAAAGGAAATTTTTGTGGATGAGCTCGTGACACTGGGAATTCCACTAAGACCCAGGTTTGCTGTCTCAGGAGTCCTTCAAGGCATTTTGTGCAATCTTTAAGACCAAAACACAAACACGATTTATAAATTCCCGTTACTTTTGTTTTTACGAACTTGAACGTTAATAGAATGCAGTCACAATACTCTGAAGGCGATGACCAAATGTATCACTTGCATGCCTCACTACATGACATGTACGTCATGAATGAGAAATTATCAGTAAATCAATCAAATCACTCGGCTTAGGGCATGAGTAATCAAAATAATTTCTTTAGCACTCAATATTGAAGGCAGTTTGAAAAGATGAAATTCTAATTCTATCCTCTGTAAGAGCCTCACAAAAAAAAAACTGCCAAGGCTATGTGGGTGGGAGTCGAACCCACAACCCCCTGCTTCCAAGTTCACGTGTCTGACATGAGTGCACACTACAATTTACGTCACCCTCTAACACATGCCGTCCCAAAATCCCTGTTTAAAACACTGCCGGAGGGGGGTAAAAGCTGGTTCCTGTTTCACGCAAACGCCAAAGTGAAGTGAAATGGATGTCACAAAACATTTGCAGCTCTGTTCGCTTTGAGTTGAAATGTGCAAACTGGCAGCACAGGTATCTGACCCGTTTGCATTCCAGTTCACTTTCAAGCCGAGCTTGAACCAGCCTCGGTGGGAGTCGGGCGGGCTTACCTTGGCGCGGGCCTCCCTGGAGGCTTCAGCCTCGGCGGCCATGGCACGCTGCATCTGGCGTGGGAGACGCACGTCCTTACTGTCATTACAAAACAAAAGGGAAAAGGCCCGTGTCAGAAATGATTGTGGGAAAGGCAGTTTGCCATAGGATAAATGCATGACAAATCTGAAGCCTGGTTTCCATTTGGTCGTAGTGACCACTGACAGCACACAAAATGTCAAGATGCAGACGGTCAAGGTGGAGAGAGCGTGTAATGTCATTCCACCAAAAATTTAACAAGATGGCAGCCGTAAGTCCAAACATTTCAATGTCAAATGCCCTATTCAAGTGGTTATATTGCCTCTTCAGGCCAAACTTGTCACCATTTAGATGAATTTGGTCCGTGGTCAGCTATTATGTTGACAAGAGAGGTATTTTTGTCGGGGAAAATAAGCAAAATCTGTGGTAGTAAAAAGAAGGGCACTGTTGTGTGCCCGTCATGGCAACACATATCTTTATATGGGTCTACTCTGACAACGAAGTGCAGAAAGTGGGTAAAGTTGAATCTGATCCAACTTTGCCGATTGACTGTGTCCAGATTTGTGTTAGATGTGATAAAGCATTTCAACATGACTGTGAGTTGTTCAGGCATGTTCGACAACATTCTCTACATCTCTTTACGTCAATTTGGAAACTGGGCTGTAAGCTGCATTTCGGAGATTTGTGGCAATCTTAACCTAAGTTGAATTGAACAACACATCACACTGAATAATTTCTGCTGACTTTCTACATCTGCATTTGTATAAACTTTGCTTGCCAATAAAAAGTAGCAGTACATTTGAAGTTTACATGGACTCACATCTCGACCCTCTCCACCTTGACCCCCCAGGGGTCGGTGGCCTCGTCTAACAGAGACTGCAAGGTGTTGCTGATCTCCTCCCTGTGGCTCAGCACCTCAGCCAGGGTCTTGGTGCCCAGGACGTTACGCAGGGTGGTGGCAGCAAGCAGCTCGGTGGACCGCTTGTAGTTCTCCACGTTGATGACCGCCATGGTGGGGTCTTGCACGCGAAAGTAGACCACCGCGTCCACGGTGACCGTCACGCTGTCTTTGGACAGGATCTGAAAAGGCCAGGGAACAGAGTAAAGAGATCACCAGAAAACTGCCATGAAGATTGGCTTCCTATTTTTCATGAGAATGACCCACCTCCATGGTGGAGTACGTGTATAATACACACCGAATGAAACTGTGTAACAAGTACATTTGCTGCACTTGTGAAATACATGTAGGTGTGAGATAATCACAGAAATCTACAGATGCATCTGGGCACTTCTACCACATACAAAGTCTCCTGACTTCAGAAATAAATACGGTGGATGTTTAAGGTAGACTCTACTTTTTTGACCCTTCTCAAAATGTACAGTTATTTGTATGGCAAAACAGATGTTAAAGTCAAAGAAGGAAAAGTGAATTAGTGGAAAAAAGCAACAGTTTTTTTTTTTTCAAATTTATCTTGACAGTCTAGCGGTTACCTCCTGGGGTGGCACATCAAAGGACAGAGTCCTGAGATCCACCACGCGAATCTCATCGATGCAGGGGATGATGAAGAACAGGCCAGGTCCCTTGGGCCCTCCAGGCAAGAGACGACCAACTCGGAACAGGATGGCTCGCTCATACTCGGCGACGGTCTTCAGAAATGGCAAATCATTAACAATGACTGAGGATTTTAATGAGACTTTGAACATAGCCCTGAATCGTCTTGTGTAGGGAATGCAATGCAGCTATCCTTGGAATAGCGAGTGTAGAATGGATGGATCACAGTATGTAGGTGCATTATACAGCATGGCCAGTTGCAACAAATCAACCGATCAGGACCAAGGAGTTAGGTTTGCTTGAAGAACACGTTCAACCACTGTCTTTTCAAAACTTGTCAGGCTGCAAATCATGCCTACAAGTCCCTGCTCCAGCAATATTATATAACATCCGAGATGCCCAAAAACGGGACCTGGACTCTACAACTTGGGGGTTGTTAAGTGGGCTCCCAACCCCAGGGGAAGGGGTCCCTCCCAGATTGAAGCACTCTATCATTCATCACCAAGTTCAAAAAGTTAGAACAACATGTAGGAGAACACTGGATGCGATCACTGCCAAACACCCTCCTTCCCTAAATTCTGCACTTTAATGTATTCTGGTGACCACAAGCATTGGCATGGCACAACGGGAGACTTTGGGATGCTGGTGACAGCAGCAGCAGGCCCCTCTTCACAGTACTGTGCATGCTCACAAGAACGCACACCTGCTCAGAACAACGCACATATACTCAGAACTGATAAAAAGGCCCGATATGTTTGCCAACACCAAGCATCTCAAAGTCTCCCACTACACAATATTTTTGTTACTTCTTGTTCTTACCGCGAAATTCAGCGACAACTTTACGCCACTTTTTGAATCCTGTTGCATTCAGCTTACAACAAAAAGGTCTTTCCACAAAGAAGAGCCTAAATATATGGGTCTAAATTTTTTCCTTCCAAAAGCAAACAAAACCTACCTTGAAGCAAAACCAGATAGTAATTGGAAATGTACATGCGATGAACAGTATGGAGAAAAACCAGAGAACCCATGTACAGCATGACATTCCTTCGGGTTCTAAACAAATGAAGCAAAAATACCAAGAATTAAACAAACAAAAGATTTAGCATTTTATTGAAAGGGTTACTGAAATAAATTGAAACTGAAATAATTATTCATTTATTCATATTGCTAATATATGCATATAATATGCATACCAGGGTTGGTGGTCTTTTTATTTCAAACAAATACAAGAAAATTCAGCTATAATATGTGCGTTGATTTGCTGTGATTTCTTTTATTACATAATCCTAAACCTGCGATTTAAACCAGTCAACTGATTGAACATACCAATTAATTTACCACCATTAACTTTAAATACTGTATATTACACCTACATGTACTTTTAGAGAAGGCAGTTACTTCAAAGATAGGCTTACAGCCTTACAGGTGCCAAACGCAAAATACTTTTAAACTGGTCTCTGAGTTCGGTTAAATGTGGAGCTGACAGGATTTGTTAATCCCGAGATAAAACACAAGGACCACTAAGAGAACAAAATACCATCGATTACATGCTAAGCAGGCATTTTAACAGGTCCTAATGTTAGTAAAAAGATGCTTCGTTCCTGGGATTTGGTGTGGGCTGAGATTTAAAAAACATGGGGACTGTTCTGTAAATGTACCGTACATGGGTCCCATCAGGGCCTCCTTATTTTCATCCTTGATTGGTGTACACATCCATATGTACATGTACTGAGACTGCCTAAACAGGTTATGCAAAGAATCTGTTTTAAGGAGTCAGGCAAGCATTTTTTAAAAAATGACCACCACTTTGTTTAAACTTTCCAACAATTGTTGCCGTTACCACTGTTCAACAACATCAAAATGAAAGAGACACGTTGGAGAAGAGAAAGGAAAAATATTGAATGAAGCTTTAATAGTTTGGCTAGTAAGTGTGTAGCCATTTGACAAGAGTTCAAAATGCAGCCACTTTGATAACAGTTTGGCTAGTAAGTTTGTAGCCATTTGACAAGAGTTCAAAATGCAGCCACTTTGATAACCATGCAAGTGCAGTTAGTAGCTGTAGTAATAAAATTTGGACTCTGCTGCATGAAGACATGTTTAGAGACTGCATGGTCGACTGCATGTGTACGGTGACTGACAGTTGAAACTGAAGTTAGGGGTTTACGTATCTATTTTCAGATGGATTTGTTAAAATTTTGCATTTTTTGCCTCTATTTTGAGATGAAATTTGGCAGTGTCCAAGAAGGAAGCAGGTGGGGAAGTTACAATTTACATTTTTACTTCACCAAACTTCTACTAGGTGACTTCTCTGGAAATAAATGTGAAACACACATTGTAAGTTTTTCTTTCGTGGCCATTTAATGGTGGAATCATGATATGGACATAAACAGGGAGTCCTGTAACTACAGTACAGTCATGACTTAAAGAAACCACGGAGCAAGGCACAAATCCGTCTCTGCCTCTACATTCGCTTGATGTTCAACACAATCACATGATCATGTACATGGAACTAAGTCAGTGAGTCACGCGACTAAAACCAACAGCCAATTTCTATTCCTTCATTATGTACATGTAAGTACAGTGTACTTTGTACATGAAACGGTGTACATGTAAACAGTCATAACAGGCTTGCATTGAGTTAAACGTCCTGCAGCGGTGGCGGCGTGGCGATCTATCTTCACACCATACAGATCATGCAAATGTCGCATAAACATCACAAGATTGGGCCGAGTGAAATCATGGACGGAGGAAGGATCCATGATGGCATGATGAAATACTAAAACAGCGATAAACATGACATTAACCTACCATTTCTCTCTCGTGTCTGCAACCCTGCCCTCTCCCCTGAGTGTGCGCTGTGTTTTGCACCGTCCATGTTGCCAGAATCTTCACAAAATCACTTCAAGGTACCTGCTATTCACAGCACGGTTCGTGTTGTTTGGTACATGTAAATGGCTGTGCGTACCAAGTACCACTGCACTAGACTATATCTCGTCGTCTTATGAACTTTCACCTATCGGGCTAGTCAATGACGTCCTCGACCAACGCAACGCGCGTGCGTAAATTACCATCCAGGTGTTTATTATTCAGCTTATTTGCTGCTGAATCATCACGTAATTTTCCATGATCAAATCGGGAGGTTTGAAAGGGCGTCATGGAATTGAATTGACTAGGACTCCTATGTGGTTTCACTCATTTAACTGCAGTGAAACCATTTTTTTCTCTGTCCTTTTCTGAAGTACCGCTCTCTCCCTATGCTTGCTCTACAGTTTTAGTTCTCGACGTCAGAGCACTGAGAATGTACATGTACATGTACACACGTAGATCGCGAACAGCTTCAACGGACGAGAACATGTTTTCAAAACCAGCATGCATCGAACTGGTCGAAAGAGGCAAACCGATTCTTTATGAAAAGATAGGCTGTGGACCAACTAAAGCGGGGAGAAGGGTTTTTTCATTTTGTATTTTAATATTCCCCATGCATGAAATACGGCGTGGGCTAGCCAGGACTTGTTTTCAGTGGTTGTTATGATCATACATGATTGTGGAAGACCTTACAGAACTTGAGAATCCGGGAACGTTACTTGAACCATGCTTGAACTTCGGCTGGAACGATAATCAACAAATAGGCCCCCTATTCATTTTCATGGCCTGTTTGTCCCCCGGATTGGAGGATTTGATATGCTTTTTGGGAAGCATGCCCCCATGAGTTCCTGTATGGCGATCCCTTGAAGGGGATCCAAGTACACGGGGGGGGGGGCGCACCTGGGTGCACCCCCTCCTGTGAAATCTGTGAATAATCTCCGTTGAGTTCATGCAGCAGTCCAGCTTATGCCCCCTTGAAAAAAATGTGTGCACCCTCGGGTGCCTCTCGGACATTTACGCCACTGACCCCAATCATTGCATTTCCAACCCCCACAAATTCTAATAATCCTAGCTAGGTAGGCCTACACCCTTGAATGATATCCTGAAGATTTTGAAAACGGCATGACTACGCCCCCGCTCCTCTACCCCAGGCGCAGGTACGTAAGTCCTTCACCTATCAGTATGACTGTTTCTGGCACCCCCCTCCGTGATAATTAGGATTTGGCTGTTTTTTTTTCAAGCCCAAGGGTGGGCAACTTAGTAATTTGCGAGTCACAAACGCGACTGACACACTTACGTGGAAAGTAGACCGATTGCATCCGCTAAATCACGTGACCAATAGTGGGTATCCGTCAACCCCATGTGTTTTGTGTGTTGCTTATAAACAAAGCCGAGTTAGGGTACGTAGTGCCCAGCACATCGGTCGTCAGTCTGAGTACGGTACCTACCGTCGGCATTATATTTTTTGTAAATGATACTTTATGAAACGCCTTTTTGGACACCGGGTTTGTTGATACTGAACGTGAACTAGTGGGCGCAATCGGTCTATTGTTCCGTGCCTTGTTCTGGGGGCGGATCGGAGACACAATGAATAAAGGAATTTAGGAAACTTCAAAACTTTCACCACCAGCAAAGAACATTATGTATACATGTACATCAATTGAAATATCGATATCGCGTATTTTATTTATGGTATATAATTTCTATAACGTTTGAAGTAAAATCTCGACACTATGGTAGAATACATACATGCACACGTGTATTCAATAGTCCAATTAACCATTGAAGAAAAGTTTCGAAAATTACAATTCTTGCAAGAAATTCATACACAGAACGATCACGAAAATGGACAACATTGTAAAAAATAGATCTACATGATATTTGTTTCAAGCTTGACTCTTTTTTGTTTAAATATTTACATTGTCTATTTGGGCAGCCAGTAACTGTAACTGAGAAATTGCGTGTAAAACACATCTAAGACATTTTCGAGCGAATTAAAAGAAATAAAATAGATGAAAAAAATAAATGATCACTCCATCGTTAATTCTCAAGAATAGGCTCCACGAACAACATGATTCCACATTCACACCGTTCACACAAAATAATAATAAAAGCAGGGTTAAATTGTTCTGGGTATATTTGAACTGATTTAAAACATTTTAAAAACACGAAATAAAGTGACAGTCTTTTTTAAAATTAATAATTTAACATTAATGATAATTGTGTTTAGAACTGCCATGCATCTGCCTCCAATGGATCGTCATTGCTCCATCTTCATCTTGTATTACATTTTCCCCTGCATATACAATTCGTTAACGTCAAATAATGGACCGATTTTACACAAAATGTTCACAAACAATATCTTTAGTATTTATAAAGAATTCTAGTTACGAAAGCAATTATACATTTGGCAGTCATCTTTTACTTCAAGAATCTGTCACACTCATCGGATTAGTTTATAAGTCATAGTTGCAGTTAACTATTAGGGATCGTTCTTCATAATTAGCAAGAAATTTACAGTACAAATACACACAAATTGTCCAAAATTGCTCTGCCATCACTGTCAGAAATTGGTAATAAAACACGTCTTCCATCTCCTATAAAACAACTGATTTCCAGGAAAACTTCACTCTGCGCGTGTCGCTCTGAGACCCATCTCACCTGATTACCTATTTTTGATTCATGAATCCGCTCAGTAGATCGACAGGCAGCGGGAAGATGATGGTGGAGTTCTTTTCAGCCGAGATGGAGTTGAGGGTCTGGAGGTAGCGGAGCTGGAGGGCGTTGGGCGACTCGGCGATGATGTCGGCAGCCTCCTTCAGGGCGCGGGATGCGTTCTGCTCACCTTCGGCAGCGATCACCTGTTCGGTGAGAAGTTGCGTTAGGTAACCAAGCGTTCCTTTAATTTTATCATCGGAAACCGTTCGAAAGTCTCGTCCTATTATAACAACTAATAATTCAAACAGATTTCAAGAGACAAGATTGAAACTGTCATTTGACTTTGAATGACGTACCTTGGCGCGAGCCTCCCTGGAGGCTTCCGCCTCGGCGGCCATGGCACGCTGCATCTGGATCGGCAGGCGGACGTCCTTACTGCAGAGGCAGAGTAAACAATAATCGTGACATCAATGCGCTCCCGGAACCAACGCACAGTGCAAGTGCACCTTGCAAAAAGAAGTAAGCGACTTACATTTCGACTCTCTCTACTTTGACCCCCCAGGAATCGGTGGCATCATCCAGGAGAGACTGTAAGGTGTTGCTGATCTCCTCCCTGTGGCTCAACAGCTCAGCCAGGGTCTTGGTGCCCAGGACGTTACGCAGGGTGGTGGCAGCAAGCAGCTCGGTGGACCGCTTGTAGTTCTCCACGTTGATGACGGCCATGGTGGGATCAGACACACGAAAATAGACCACGGCGTCAACAGTTACCGTCACACTGTCTTTGGACAGGATCTACAGGTTGGACGAAAGTTAATTAATTACGCTAAATTTTCATTCATAGAAACAAAAGACTATAAAGTTACTAGCTTCTGTTGGTGATTACATAGGCATGATGAAAGCAACTTCAGTTTTGATGATCCGTTTCACCAGAGTCATAATTACTTCAGAGTATATACGCCTCTTTTCCCCCAACGGGTTTGGATTCATTGATCTCCCCAAAGAACAAATCGCAAACATACGAAAGGGATTCGCAAGAAGACAACAACGCATGTAAGTGTCGTCCGAGGGTCGTGCAGGATCAAAGATGCGATGAAACGCAAAGAGGAGCTCTGGAACCATTTGAATGGTCATGACACTCAACACCAGGTAATTTCTTACCTCCTGGGGTGGCACATCAAAGGAGAGAGTCCTGAGATCCACCACCTGAATCTCATCGATGCAGGGGATGATGAAGAACAGGCCAGGTCCCTTGGGCCCTCCAGGCAAGAGACGACCAACTCGGAACAGGATGGCTCGCTCGTACTCGGCGACAGTCTGCAGTCAGCATAAAAATGTCAACATCAAATTTAGACCAAACTTCAGGATATTTCCCGACAATAGAAAACAGGTACAAGGGCTAATAAGAGTGTACCATATTCTGACAAGTGGTGGAAGAATATCAAGATTCTTATGATTACGATTTACGATATTGTGTAAAATCGGAATCGTCCAGTTTTTAGGGAAAAATGGTATCGAATATCAGGATATCGGCGGTTTTCTTTTCAACTATCAGGTTCGATAATTGGACCATTGGAAAAGCTGTTCCCAAAAGCTTTATTAACCCTATGCAATTATCGATCACGTTCTAAGCGTACCTCCAGTGTATCTAGTACCGGTAACGTATATCGCACACGGCTGTATATCCCTGTGCGCGTCTATAGAGGGGCTTGTGGGGTACCGGAACAATGGGAAGTACCCCATAGGGTACTTGTGGGGTACGGAGACGGTACCCCACAAGAATTTCGCGAAATAAATATTTCAAATTTACTCAAAAAGGAGGAATTTTCAAGTGCCATTCATCCGTCGCAAAATGAAGTCTTTTAAATAAGGGACATTCAGTCGAATTTCCAAAGTAGGAAAGTGAATCTGGTTCAAATGGGAGTGATTTGAAAATTTTTGCGTGTTGTGTGGGAGTTTTGTAAACGAGAACGAAGTGAAAACCCCACAAGTATAGCTGTGTAAGGTTGGGGGTTTGCATTTGATCCTACAGAACGTTCTTGATTTTACCGTAGCACTATCGCCACTTCAAATTCAAAGCTTCGTTTACGACATTCGGGTGTGATCTACGGTAAAATTCAGAACTGAGAATGCTATTAGTCGCGTTTGATGAAATTTTTTTAGTACTTGCCCAACTTCAAGTTATACGTAAAATAAAATCCCAACTTGTCATTTTCGTGGCATGTCGTGTTTACGGACAGTTTCCACGCGGGTCATTGCGCGGTGTCAGGGATACGAGGTGATTATTTTTAAAAGAAATCTTGTTATAGATTAGTCCTCTATTCTTGGGGTTTATTCTTCACCTTTTGTTCTTTTTCATTTGTCGGTAAAAGATTTGATCGAGGGAATAATTAAGACATTAAAGTGAAGAGGCACAGTGAATTAGAGATCACAAACAGCGCGCTTCAACCAACGTGGAAAGTTAAGAACCACTGGTGACAAATGCAATTCTAAACCACCAAAGCCTTCAGGTCCTATCGTAGATCTGTAGGCCTATCTTCTTTAGTGGCAAGACAATAATAATTATTTTACACTGCAACAATAGATGAGATTTGATTTATAAATTCGGGGGCTTCAGAGTGTTAATGTGCAGTTTGCGGGTGGCTGAAATGGATATTGGTTATTTTATAGAGTCGGCATTATTTTATCGCGACAGTTTCTGTCTTGTGCGACTGCGCCTGGTTATTTTGATTGGACTGATGATCCAATCAGCTGGAAGAAACCAATCTTCATCTATAATTTTGTAGGATGATCCTACACAAGATCCTATACAAAAAAACCACCGCGGTTGGCCAAAGTATCATCCGAATCCTATTTGGCAGAAATGACAGTTACACATTGAAAAATGAAACTCACCTTGAAACAAAACCAGATCGTTATCGGGAATGTCACAGTAATTAAGAGGATCGAGAAGAACCATAGGACAATGGTACAGCATGACATACCCTCGGGTTCTGGAAAATAGAGATTTAACAGGGAGAAATAAAGACGCACGATAAAAATTCAGGATAATAACCCACAACTGCAAATCTCGCGGATTCAAGATAAACAAGGTAACCGTCTACGGCCTAAATAAAAAGGGTCTGATTTGCATGGGAAACGAAGGCTTCATTGTTTTTCGCCCAAGTATAGAGTCATCATAATTTCAAACAATTTCTAGGTTTAGTTTTTTTCTAAACTCTGAAGGCTGCAACTTCTCAGCGTCCACCCTGAGTGTATAGCAGCCTTGTGTCTGTGTTGTGGGGTGTCAGATTACTACGGTATGGAGAATTTCACTCCGAAATCGGAACGTTAACAAAGCAAAACGTAGATACTGATCACAACAAGCCAATAGGAGACAGTAAAATGGTTAACCGGGGACAAACTCCTGGCTATAGACGCGCTATAGTTCAAATGGGAGTGTCCCTGCTAATGTGCTATATCCCTCGACCCCCCTTCCGGAATATACTACATGCACCTTGGCCGTGACCCATTTTTAGCTCTGGTGTCAGGTTGGCCAAAATTTCAAGATTTTAAGAGTACTATGACCTATATTCAAGTTAGCAGGCGAATATATTTTCAGAAATGCAAGCGACAAGCTAGTTAAACCAACAACATGCAAAACCTACCTCGGTCAATTGGCTGATTGAACTGCTGGGCTGACGCACCGCCTTTCATGCGTCCATGGGGCATCGTGTCGGGCTCCATGTTGATGTTGCTGCCTCACTCAGCAGACCTGTTTGTAACGAAGAAATCGTCCAATTGCCCAACCGAAATTCTAAGGACGGGAACAGGATTTCTTTTCAGCAATGAGGTCCTGGCGAGCGGTTTCACTGTACTGAGCACACGGGCTGAAACGCACAACTGAAAAAACACGTATCTATGGCCTTCCCTCAGAAAAAACCAAATTCTACGCGGGTCCGAAGTCCGCGTTTACCATGGCAAAAATAAAACGCACTCCACAAAATTATGCCTCTCAGTGTCAGTACACACAGGGCCGTGCGCCGGTACTGACGTCACTCTGCATAATATTTTGCTCTTCACGCATGAGTCGCATCTGGAGAGCGTTGGGAAAAATTATTCATCACCCGACATGTTGCACCCGCCCCAACCAACGCTGGCAATTTGCCACTACCTCGACATTTTAATGACACTAGCGCAACGAAAAAAGTCGACAATACATGCTCAGTCTAGACGTCTCAGTCTAGAAAAACGCAATGTGACATCGCTGAGATCCCCAATCCATTTAGTTTTTCACAGACATTTTTTTTGTCTACATATGGGTTTCTCGCTTTATTTGAGACTCTTTGGCGTAAGCCTACAGCGAGTGTAAGCAACGGAACACTTCGGGGTTGAGTCGTGTATTTAGCCTAAAATGACGTCTGTTGAACGCTAATCAATAAGTACTGTTTCGTAATGGTCAAAGCCTACTCAAATCGCAGTGATCAGCCGATTTACACGTAGCCGCATGGATCTTCATTCACAGTGTAGCAAAATCAAACTTCATTTTTGTTTGCATAGGTCCATCTCACAATATTTTCGAAATTAAAAGCCCGAACATCGAGCGGGGGGGGGAGCAACATACGGAAGTTCAAGATGACTTGTTTATCGCCGCTAACATAACTGCGGGAATGCCATACTTCAACAGCTAGGTCACAAACCGTGCTCTTTGTGCAAGTATAGGCGTGTGCGTGATCGCTCAGAGATAAACGGCAAACAATACAAAACCAGGCCTATACTTTAGACCTAATGCTGGTGAGGTCAAGTTAAAAAAATATATTATCAGTAAATCGTCCGTGCCAACATTCTTTTTTGAAGCCATGTCCTTAAAAAAATTTTCTTATTATGGAAATTTCCTTTTGATCTCATACTTATACTAGCTTAGGATAGCTATTAAACAGCTATCTTGCAGTCAATTTGAACTACAAACCTGGACGCCCTTTTGAATCATTATACCGACGGCCATCTTGGAAAATATTGTTGAAAAAGTAAGGGACGTCATCATAGTCCTCATTTTAGAAAAAACCGGACGTTCAACTGATTTATTAACTCGGTCTCAAGAATGACCAGTGATCTCCATCGCTGATATGATATTAGGTTTCATCAAGTGAAGAGACATGCACATTTGGGACGACAGTGGGCAAATGCTTCCCAACAGTTGCACCTTCTTTCGTGATGACACCGAAGAATTAGAAATGTCCGAAGCGCGCGACGGACGGGGCCATGCCAATTTCAACAGCATGTTTATACCCACCCCTAATTACAAACGTGGATGGCATGTCCCGTATTTGATTCACGAGCGCACAAACATCTTTATCGTCGAATTTAATGGCAGAGAGGAGACAAAAAGTATGCATTTCCTGGCAACTAAGTATTTCCTGGAAAACTTGGTATGTTTTTGGTTGGAGGGGGGTATCCTCTCATCCTCTATCCCGCTACACTGACAGGAACAAGGCACCTCGGCTAGTATGATGTGAAGCCTATCTTGCCGTGTACTATAAATACCTCAAAATGCATCCAACCATTACAAGGATTTGACATCCAGATTCGTAAACAAGACTGTTACAATACCTTTCTATATTACAAGAGAACTTACTCAAACCTATGACTTCACCATGCAGCGTTTTGCTCACTATCTCATTACAGCTGGAGTCTTACAAGGCCTATAAGCAAACAACCACTCAAACCTATTGGCATGTTGTACTAAGAACATTCCCAAACCTACCCAGACCACTGCATTCACCCACAGGGAATTACGTGTTCAGTGAAACGTAGCTTTGCATACTGCCACTGTTTAGGTAACAAAAACTCTGCAAGACGGGAATGACAAAGGAAGATCGTACGATCCAAAATGCAATAAGTTGGCAACATGGATATCATGAAAAGGCCAAATCCACACAGCATGCCTTCACGTAATTAGGAACTTCGAAAACTGTCGCGCAGGCTCATGCACCTATAATGAGACTCTCTAACATTGATAAAACTTAAAACGTGTGTCGTAATGGACGAACAAAACAAATATACATGTATACCTTTTCACTACAGCTCATTAGCAAACATTTTTGTATAAAAACTTCTGTAGCGAAACACACACTACATCCACGTATATTACAGGTGAATATATTCACTATTGCCCGTTTTGAAATAAAATCACAGCACAGTCGTATATAGCGGACCGACTTTTTTTCAGACCACAAATCATTTAATAACCTGAATTACATGAACAATTTAAAATGAAGTGTAAGAAAGATTTCAAGTTAAAACTAAAATTCCACGAGAGGAAAATCTTTTCGCTTGCACCCCCCGCCCACTTGAAACAAAGTTTCTGTATCATAACCTTGGATTGTGCGTTGTTCAGTCATTTTATGAAAGATTTACAAACAGTGAGGAATGAATAGAGGTTCAACTCGACATGACTGCTATGTCAGCTTTGCAGATGAACCAATACTTCACATAAATATTTTTTTGTGGTGATGAATAAATCTTAAACTACATTCCCACATGATGACATAATTAATCTCGCATTTCCAAAATGATAAAAAAGGATAGATGTACTTGAAACAACACTTCGGAAAAAGAACGCTGCACGTCAATGACTGTAGAATGTACCCGAGCTATATAAAATGAAATTGCCACTGTTAAAAGAATGAGGAGTTAACAATATATGGGCCAAATGAATCGCCATCAAAATGCAATAACTTCCCGTTTGATGATGTTGCCATTTTGGACCCTCTGTGTCCTACTTCACTTTTAAAAATGCTTTTAAGATGTAAATGGTGATGTCAAAACGTAATCTTGAGAAAAGGGAATCCACCTGTGATAATTGATCAACAATTAAATCCTTTTTCTCCCAATAAACTTCTTTTCACAACATGTATTCGTTGTTTCGTGAGGGTAATCATAATCAGCAATTCACACCAACATCTGTAAATGATCAGGTATTGTAAGCAATCTGCCTTTGTTCACTGAGGAAAGTGTGTCCTTAAACATATCTTAAGATACAGAGACAAGTCCCTAAAAAGTGAACTCACTTTTTTCCCCAAAATTCACTTTTTTGGTGAAACAGTGCCGAGGCACGGGTAGCGATAACACGTGCAATGGAGACCATAAGAGAAAACTTCTAAGAAATCTCATCACCTCAGATCACTCATTTTCCAATATTTACGTCATTTCTACGTCAGCTACGTATCCATTTACACGATATTTACATACGCTTAAAACAAACATCTTTAACACTCTGCTAAGCGCTCGAAGAATCATAACTCATGACATGCACATGTCAATGGCACTACACTACATAGCGCTTTTGGAACTCGGGTACAATGCGAATTTGAATATCTCAAAATTCAGTATCATGTTTCAAAAAAGCACTTAAAAAAAACCTTTCTTTTAACATACTAACATCCTAAGGTACGTGTGAATTCATACTGAAATAAGAGGATTTGGCCCCGTTAAGTTGAAATTCTAAAACAAAGACTTCTTAGAACATCACCAAAGACAACACACAAGGTGTTTTCTTTTCGACTTAGATGAAATGGTGAATGGTGACAGACGTACCATACCGAAACCTTTTCGCTGCGCGCGACGCTCATCAAAGTGACACTGATCAGCACTGGCACGAGGCTAATTTTGCTAAAAGCCTCTGAAATCCTTACTCTCGTGTGCTGTAACACGGTTGTCTCAGCCAGCCAACCGAAGAATGACGTGTCGCTCCGGCTTGGGAAGACTGTAATCTCCCGAGCCCCGACAAAGCACGATACGACGAGGATTTCTTGCCAACTTTCCAATTTATTTACTTGTGGAATCCCATCCTCATCTTGTTCTACGAGAAAACATGATGTCCACAAAACAAACAAAGCGTAAGAAGCTTCGTGGCATCTCCGATTCAGGTCAAGGGTGGCAAACTACGATCTGCTGCCATGGATTAAAACGCTCAGTGATGTTCACAAAATTACATGCTACGTGACGAGCTCCTCGTACCAACTTCCATGGGAAACAAAGCAAAATGCACAGGACTCTTTATCACTCTAAATGTGGGTAGATATGGAAATCCAGGCATTAGAATGTTGATCTGAAAACAAAATGGCAAAGTTGGAGGCAATCTTTTGCCAATTCAGTCACCAAGGGGTCGGACACAATACAATAAGACTCTTTCAAAGTCCCATAATAGAATACCTGCGTGTACCTGCATAATATACTTACATGTAATGCAGGTGGCATGTTACCGAAGAAAACAGTGAGCTCTGATATGACTCGACAAGCAATTTGAACCTTACAACGGAATACAATAACATATGATACAACTACTGTTGTGTGTAAAATGCCTTAAAGCCGACACAAGTAAAACACGAAAGACAGTACTAAATTTGCAACTACTAAAAATAAAAACAAAACAAAACAACATGCTAATCTACATAATTACATAATTAAAAATTACATTTTACTTGAACCTGGGAAGGGCTACAAGACAAGCTAAGCAAGAACAACCAGCTCAAGCGGAAATCCACATACAAGGAGATTATCAGCGGAAATATAAGAGATTATTGTCAGAATTATAGCAATAACAGTAATCACAACATCCAGCTAGACATATCTCGCATATGAATTCATATACGTACACCAATGCATGCATCAAATTTATAACTTACAATTTGGTACATTAATATTTCCAGCAAGTTACATTTACTCGTGATGCCCCCCCTGGCCACATTGATTTTTGTATGGAGATAAGTGTCCAACACAATTCTCAAAGGAAGCAAATTATGTAATCTATGTACAAAGCAATCTTTGATTTTTATGAGTTGTTTGAAAAATGAGTTTTTCCAAAAAACAAATGTGTTGAGAAGCTCATCTTCACTTTGGCCCTCATGGTTCCTAAGGGGCTAATTATATACCATAACCATATACTTCTGCTGATTTACAGCATGGTAACCCACACAGGATTCTGTAGCAGGTTGGGATTTTCTTATTTAAAACATTAGTACTTCACTACACATGCAAAGGTAGACTGGTGGGCAGGCTGCATGCTTGTGACATATGCAAATACATTACAAATGACAGGTTGCAAAGCCAGCCATAATGGAACTGGAGTAACACATTGTGTGCTGTGCTTGGGGGCAGAGAGACTGTATGCTGGCATCCTGCCAGAGGGGTAAATATTTGTATTGTCATGGTGCTACCGTCATTACACAGAGCTCCAATGGAGGTGCCTGGTGTGTTTCTTCAGAGTAAAATTATGCAAGTTCAAACTTCATGCTGACCAGAATGTCCCGAGCATGTTATTTGCGAACTGAAACCAACTGACTCAATAGCTTGGATTAGTTCATTTGGCTAGTATTATTGTTATTACTTTTTACCATTTATTATTTCATTGGTATTCAAATCCTTGATATGAATAGTGTGGATGATGGAGACTGGTACAGGTGACAGTTCTTGCTGATGGTTAGCTTATATGTCTGGGGTTGGCAGAGAGAAGCTGGTGTCTTTATCCTGCCTGCCCTTCCCAGGGGCTAATTGCTATTTGCTGTTCATGAACCCACTCAGCAGGTCGACGGGCAGCGGGAAGACGATGGTGGAGTTCTTCTCGGCCGAGATGGAGTTGAGGGTCTGCAGGTAGCGGAGCTGGAGGGCGTTGGGCGACTCGGCGATGATGTCGGCCGCCTCCTTCAGGGCGCGGGAGGCATTCTGCTCGCCCTCGGCGGCGATCACCTGTTCAGTAAGAAGTTGCCGAGGGTATTACAAGGTGTTTCTTGAACTGAATCAATAAAAACCATTCAACACTATGGTCCTGTTGTTCATAAATAATTCTCAAAAATGTTTGCCAGGTATATGACTGATCATTTGCAATTGTCATTTAGCCAAAATAACACACCTTTGCACGAGCCTCCCTGGAGGCCTCAGCCTCGGCGGCCATGGCACGTTGCATCTGGGTAGGAAGTCGCACATCTTTTCTATGGGCAAGTCAAAAGTATCAGCTTCAAACTCAGTGTATGTATCACTGAGAGGCGATGATCCAATGCACTTCAAATACATTGTACACGAACTGAAAGATGAAACATTAACAACTTGTGGTCTCTACTACTTTTGGATAAAAAGTTGAATTTTAGAAAAAGGCCAGATATAGACAACACAGACACTGATTTGAAGAGTCAATTAAACAGTATCTGCACGATATATAATGTCTAATTGCAACCTCATATTTTCAACACTTTAGGTTCAACACATGATCGGCCTCTAAAGACTTGTATGTCTTGGTGTGTGTACACAACACAAACAGGGGATTATCCTGTTGAAATTAGATCTGTCAGGAATACAGGGTTGGGTGTCACACTGCACCTAAAGTTTGTGAACTGTAAGAGACTGATCTTTTAAATAGGTGAGATAAGAGGAAAATGAAATATCCACAAAAAAAGTCAACAGAGATTTTTTTGGCACTGGGTCTATGGTCTTTTTCATGTCCATTTCTTGTTTTCTTTATCAACAATCACACCATAAAACCTTAATGGTAATCTCAGAATTTGCCAGATTTTGAAAATCCTGATGACACAACCCTGAAATTCTGAGGGAAAAATCGGGACATCAGGGAAAGTCCTGGCAACTCGCACCCCGCATTTGTGAAAGAGGCAACAAGAGCGAAAATTCATTGGTTGTTGCTTTTAACCTTCCATCTCCCCTCTAACCTTTAAGAAAATACAACGTAAGGTTTTGAAGCCTTTCTCAGGATTCGGGTAGGTGTATCATCAACACTTTTACAGTGTAGTTGACATGGGACTTGATGCCCCTGGCAATTTGAGGAGGAATGTGCCCTAGGCCACAGAATTTGAAGGAGTCCTAAAGCTTCAGAAGCAAGTTGGTGCAAGATGCCTTGGGTGCTGAGAGGGTTAAGATCAAGGCCCAGGGACCCTGTCAATGAGCTAGTGTTGGTGGTGTCTTGGGCTACTTCTGTGAGGGCACAGACAAGATAAAACAGACAGATCATCCCATTGCGCTCTGACTACAAGACAAGCAACCCCTCGAAGGCCTTGTGCATACCCCTGGTGCACACATGGAGATCATACACTCAAACAGAAATGTGCATGAAGCCGTGTCCAAACGGACAGCAGGGCTGCACGTTCCCACGCTGAGTGGATTTTGTTACAACTTACATCTCGACCCTTTCCACTTTGACACCCCAGGGGTCGGTGGCTTCATCCAAGAGTGACTGTAAGGTGTTGCTGATCTCCTCCCTGTGGCTCAACATCTCAGCCAGGGTCTTGGTGCCCAGGACGTTACGCAGGGTGGTGGCGGCAAGCAGCTCGGTGGACCGCTTGTAGTTCTCCACGTTGATGACCGCCATGGTGGGGTCTTGCACGCGAAAGTAGACCACTGCGTCCACGGTGACTGTCACGCTGTCTTTGGACAGGACCTAGAAATTCAATTGACATGCCTTTAATGCCAAAAAAATTAACCCTTTATCATCTTATGTTTAATCATTCCCTTCATTCCCAAGAGCAATACAGACCTTGGTTGTCTTGTTCCCCGTATACCCATTGGCAGTAGTAATACAACTTCACATATTAATAAAGGGGAACAGACTATTTTCCTTCCAGCCTCAGGCCGTGTCCTCTGGGATTCCAGAGCTACAGCTAGGTCTAGTGTCTTCATGTCTTAATGTATTTCCCATGAAGCAAAGTCTTAGACCTAGCTCCAGACAACTGATTCAGATGCAAACTTAGTTTGGTTACACTGCTTTGAGTGATAAAAATGCAAGATGGCTGTCCCATAATAGAGGCCTATCCCTCATGAAGCCAAAAACCAAATGATCGAAGTAACCAATATAACATCAAACACAGGTTCAATGGAAGGATCTTGCATCTCTTTTAAGGCTAAATGACACAAATAAACATTTGTCATCCCCACCCATTTTCTTTCCAGCCTCCTTGTTTTTAGGTTTCCCCACTTTTTGATAATGATGATTAATGCTTAGATATTTATATCCCTCTATCACAGAAATACATAACCCGGTTCTGTACATGTTCAGCAGTTGTTAGATTTTCAACTTTTCTATTCTGACAAACTGTTTGTAGCTATGCAGGTAAGCAGAAGACCTTTTCAACGAAAACCATCTGCAAGAGTCCAGAAAATCCAACTCCCATCTTGGAAATGTATGCAATGGTAAAACAAATAAAAACTGGCCGCTCCCATTTTAAAAGGCAAAGATTTCAAAGTAGGAATTCTCTTTGTAAATCTAGTACACTGTACAGCACATTTAATGCTTTAATGCATTTAATGCTTTCTAGTTGAAATGTGCCGAGGCTGTGAGCTTCTTCATAGTGTACATGTACATGTAGTCTGTGCGTGATTGGTCTGCGTCCCCGCCTTGTGTAATTGGCAGGCAATGAGATTACATTAGGGTTGCTACGACAACCAGTGTTTCCTTGATGGCAGCTTTTTAATCACTGCCAGCACCTCTTGGAAAAAAACAAAACAAATATATAATATTCATACTTAATGGAAAGCTGAGGTGAAATCCAGACTGAGTGTTTGCCTTCAACAACCTTGCCAGGGGCCGTTTCTGAGACTGGCCTGCAATTGCAGTCTGTGTAAACCAATGGCAGCCATCAATCCATGTTATGGTTTCTAATTACGTACCACTTTCCATCCCTCTTAATCCCTTCTCATTTCATCTTTTCCTTTTTTCCCCAAGAAACATCAATCTCTCCCCAGAGAGAGCTTGAGAAATTAGGCTAATTTGCTTCAGAAACTCACAAAATTTATGTACTTTTGGTGAAATATGAACGCACACGCATGTGAATGTAAAAATGATTAAATTTTTGATAGATAAATGTACGCGTTTTGTGTTATTTTCTTTTCTTTAAATCAATACTCCCATAGTTTATTGTTAAATTTAGATTTTCTGGAGTTGTCTTTTTTCCCTGAGTGAACTAGTAGTTTCATTGCACATCAGTATAGAGGTGGAATGGTGCTGTGTGTCGTTGTTTGTTTTAATCATCTCGTCCGGACTGGGAATCCATGGAAATGAGCATATTTGCTTTAACCTCAGAGGCAATGAAGATATGTGAGCATTTGGTTTTAGATTATGAAACCAACAGTTGCTGATTTTGTTGATCCATTGCAATTTGCATATACTAAGGGTCGCAGCACAGAGGATGACATTTTGTTTCAAATGCTTAGATAGACTCTACTCTTATCTAGAACGGGCCAAGTTTGGAAGCTCATTCCTCATAATCTGTTTTGGGTTTTCATGTATTTTTGATACAATGCAGCCTCACATTTTGGTTAGAAAACTTCTCGACAGCTGTTCCTTACACGGTTATCAAATTCATTTTGAATTATCTCTCTTTCCATGCACAGTTTGTGCCTCTCAGTGATTCAATCCATTCTGATGTTATCATTTCTAGTACCGGAGCTCCTCAAGGTACAGTTTTCGCTCCGTTTAGGTCTAACACAGCTGATGTTGGTCTACTGAACATGGTCATCCCTTTGTAAAATATGCAAATGACATCATTCTTGTTGGTCTTATACAGAACGATGACAAGTCTGCCTACTTGAATCAAATGAGCCGGCTTGTAATATACTGTAAACTAAATTTTCTGGAATTGAATTTGTCCAAGACAAAAGACACGTTGGTTGACTTCTGTAAGGTTCATAAAGTGAAACTGAACGTGTTGCTGAACATAAATATCCTGGGGTTATGTTCGATGACAGGTTAGACTGGAGTAGCCATGTGAATCATATAGAGAAGAGATTGAACTGGAGAATGTACTGCCTGAAGAAACGAAATGTGTTCGATACGAGGAGGGAAGTCAAATTGATATTTTACCATTCAGGTATTTGTAGTGAGCGGGCCTACTGTCCGGTATGCTGGGCTGGAAATATCGATAAGCAGACAAGAAAGTGAAGAAGCTTGACGATTCATTCCATCTAATGAGCTAGTAAAATAGTTAATGAATATCTGTCACCAGTAGACACTGTCTACATGGTCTACAGTCAACAGCTACGTGACCAATTATATACATGTAAAGTGTGGAGAGATCCTGGTCATCCTCTCCACACCTGTTTAATGGATAATATCATTTTACGCAGTAACAGACTGAGACTAGTAGTCACACACACAAATCAATATAATTCACTTTTCATGGGCCGGGCTGTTAAACGTCATAATGAGGCTGTCAACAGATAATTTCTGTTTCTGCCGTCTTCAAATTGGGGATCGGTGTGGAACTCACCTCAAATCATTGTCCTCAAGCATGATTTGGTTTTAACTTTGGGTTTTGGGAAGGCATTTTGAGTTTTCCAGAGTTTTTCAAGAAACTTTGGTGAAAAGTATTTTTGTAATTTGTATAAAATTATTGTTAGTTTGATGTTTGTGATGAACTGGGCAAGATACATGCAATATTTGAGTAGGAGGAACACCGATTAAATCTTCTTCATGTGAAGCTCTGGAAACCAAGTGCAAGACTAACAGAAAATGCTCGAGTAGCATTTGTGATACACCGAAAGAAAGTAATACAATATATTTACCACCATAGTGTCCACAGTCCCAGAAGTAGCTGGGTTAACCCTAACACTCCTCAGTCCTCCAACAGGTGAAGGATTGAGGAGTGTTAGGGTTAAAGGTTGAAGTTCAAGAGGTCAAGGAACAGAGTTTATTTCCATAACCTGGCATTAGGTCCTTCGGTAGTCGGGATATTACGATATTGTTTCCCCGTGTTACAGGTGTATTGAAACGTAACTTTTAATAGTCATATATTTTTAAAGAGAGACGACAACATGAACATTGTAATTTCCCTTTTTTTTTTGATTGAATAAAGTTTATCTACATGTAGATAAACTGTATCTACATGTAAAACTAAAAATCTAAACTAAAAATCTGAAATTGTCCTTTTCTTGCTTAGTTGTATTGAAAAAAGCACATCTTTCCTGGATAACTTGAGGATATTATGCTGTGATGTCATTTGGGGAAGACAATTGATCAGTTTGAATTGTCACACTCACAAAACAATGAATCATCAAGGGAAAGAAAGTTATGGCAATTTGGCTATACTCAAAAGGAACCAAAATGCATGCATCTTTCAAAATGGCAAAACAAAAAAACAAAAAAAAAACAAAAAAAAAGAAAATAGGGATAAATGGGACACAAAACCACATTTCCAAGGTTCGGATTTTAAACATTACACTGCATAAATGTAAGCCCGTTGAATACACAGCATCTAATGCATATGTGAGTTTTTGTGGTAATGCTGAAGAAAGCTTGTTTCGAAAATATTTTTCAAGTACCCTGCAGTTTCTAACAAAAGTTAAAATTGTGCTTTTTGGGTTCCTTATTTTTGATGAGATATAAACAGCAGCGAAGATTCTATATTTCAACAAAATATGCTACACTTGAAAAGATAGCATCCTGAAGTTTAGGTCTAGAAATACAATTTTTAACATTTGAATAAAGAACACGACAGACACACTTGGCTCACTCTATCTGTCACACAAAGACATTTGGCTGCCAACACTACAGCAACAGCACAGTGACTCCAGATCAAAACCTCCATTCAGGAGGCTGACATTACGAAACTGAACTATTTTGAAATCACATTATGAAACCAGAACTGTTATTTCAAGGTGAGCTATTCCTAGAGTTTGTGACACAGGATCATAAAGTCTGTCGTTCAGTTGAAAAAAGATGGAGCAAGCCATGCCAATATGTTGCACAATATAGGAAAGTCTTCCTTATTCTGACACATAAATCTTGATAGAAAGTCCTTTTATTGATTGCCCTGAATGGATTTTCTAGTTGTTTCCTCCTTGCAGATATACAGTATATTATACATTTCCTGGTCTGTGATTACTTCCTCAACCATCTTTCCTCTAGGACATTTCTGCCATTTTGTTTCATAAAAAGAACAAAGCATACAGTGTACATGTATAATCATACGTGTACCAGTATAGTTTTGTTATCAATTCTCAATGTGGGTCAGGGTTGGTGCTGTGTCAGTCACAGGTTAGTTAGTCAATAAATGCAAGTCAATTCACATATCGGGTCAAAACTGAAGAGCTGCACCAAGGCCATTCCTGCCTTTCTCAGAGTTTACTGAAATAGCCTGTGAGTGGACTCAGGATGGAATGACTTGACGGACTTGTGATGATTTGTGGCTGACCCAATTGCAGCTCTGGTGTACACATGTACGGACTTTGTACTGTAATGTGATTGGGTACACAAAGAATACTATATTGGGATGGGGTGTGAACCTCTAACTTCTGGAATTCTGCAAACATAACAAACAGTATTGTTATGACAGAAGACCTGCATGTATATTTCAAGAGCCAAATATCGGGGTCCTGATCTCTGAAATTGTTTTGGGTTTGTTTTTTCTAGTCTTCTTATAACAAGGGTTCTGATTACGAGAAGGCAATTTCACTGGAACCTTGTTGTCAGGAGATTTACATGTACACCCAGGCCTACGTGTTTATGTAGGTTTTTCTGTGAATCTGAATATTTGTCTCATTACATACAACATACACGCTGTACATCGACAAAAACTGAATCAAATCCAAACATTTATATTAGGATGAATTTTGTTCTGGCCCCCCCCCTCCTTTTTAAAAGAAATCCTCAGGGAAAGGGGTAACCCCTCCCCAAATTACTTCAAACAGTTTGTCAGAAATGTGTGGGTGGCTTAGCAGTGCAGTGTGGACAGTTGGTCGCAGAATTCGCAACCAACCACAAGAATCCTTGAGCAGGAGCAGATAAATTCAGTAGCCAGTGACCATCCACTTTGCCTGGCTACTGGACAGAGACAATAATTGGCAGCTCCCAACCCCTCTGTTCATTGTTTCTAGAGTGCATTCCCTTCAAAGTAATAAAAAAAAGCAAACATCATGAAGACGTGACTGTTCTCTGCCACTGATGACAGAGATACAAATATCAGGGAAATGGACTCAGGCCCAAAATTCTTTTGAGACCTTCAAAATCACTTTGTCAAGATCATGAAGTGAACCTAGTGCACAAGCAGAGCCGGTGCACAAGTGACATGCAAATTAGGGATGAGTAATCTTCACTGTGGGTAAAACCCCACACACAGCATTCTGGCGGCTCCAGGTTCACATTCAACACTGTTACCCTCCGTCATTTCCTTCACTCAGTGAAAAAAAAAAATTCACCAACTGTTTTCTTGCCTCAGTGCATATGAGACACACTAAAAATCCACTTCATTCTACGCCACAGTGCCAGAGTAGCTTACAGTTATTTCAATAAGTCATTTGCGAGTTAAATTTGACTAAAATCTGGTACACAGAGTTATCTGATTGCACATAGACATAACAATTTAAATTCCCCAGACTAAAGACACTGTTGCTATGTCTGGTGATTCAGGGCAAGCTTTTGCATAGCGACCACCATCTCTGGAATGGACTGGTTCCTTTGTACCCTTCTCATCCATTGAGAATAGTGTATTGTTGAAAGGAGTCTCTTATGTAACTAAGTAAAAGCTTATCCCGAATCACGACATATAGCAACAGCGTGTAGTATGGAGAATTCAAATTGTTATGTTCACATACATTTAAAGAACTCAGCGTACCAGATTTCCAAATTTAGCTTGCAAAAGGTTTATTGTCATTCCTCTACAAAAAGCCTTTATTACATGTATCAGCATTGAGGTATTGCATTTGGGGTACGCATGCAGCGCAAAAAAAGGAAAAAGTCGTCACAGTGAGCCTACCTCTTGTGGTGGGACATCAAATGACAAGGTCCTGAGATCCACCACCCGGATGTCATCGATGCAGGGGATGATGAAGAACAGGCCGGGCCCCTTGGGCCCACCAGGCAACAGACGACCAACTCGTAAGATAATTGCTCGCTCATATTCGGCGACAGTCTGCGGGCACATGGGAAACAGGAAGACATTAACTGCTGGAAAATACTGTAACCGTGTTGAAACTGGAAAGTACTATCCCTTTTCAGAACGAGGAAAAAAGGCCAATACTGCTCTCCGCACGAGACTCTAATCAGGACTTGGAGGTCCTAGGCTGAAAAGAGGACATTAACAAAAGAGCAATATTGACACCTGCGCATGAAACCATAAAAATTTAATAAATTGTTAATTCCAGTAATGTGTCTCTTTAATAAAGTGGGGAAAACTTTCTACATCGATCCCAATCCATTCTCTACTCTCATGGGTACCATTTGTATTCATGGGTGGACAGAGGTAATTGTGGGCCAGTCCAGTGACATGGGTAGGGCTATAAGTGCTCTTTTGGCAATTGTAAGGAGCCACTGATCTGTGACAGTCGCTCCCTCCTAAACCCAACAAGATGTACATGTACCCACAGGTAGGTCCCCTACCACCCTGAGGGGTCTCCTATACCCCTTGGCACCCTTTGCCACTTCCCTTGACCTCCAGAATGACACAGTTCATCGCTTCCAGCAATCCATGCTTAACTGATTTGGACCAAATCTACACAGTTGCATCTTCCTTGCATCTCACTCCTTCCCGACCTACATACATAAGCCCTAAGTTGGCGACCCCACATTCTCTTGACAACCTTCCAAACCTCTATGTCATGTTTTCCAGCCATTAAAGAGGGCCACTGGGAACTGGAATGCTACTGTACAGTGTCTTGCCTAAAGAACACAAACACCATGCTACCTAGGAAGTGCACAACATGTACACATGCATATATCATCCATGTATGATGTAGTGCTGGTGCACTGCATGCAAGTGTACCTGCACATCTGATGAAATTGTTTCCGTCATATTTCGTTAACATTCCACAAATACACACACCAATTCAATATATCTGCGCTCGGAAGGGTGAACGAGGAGTTAACACTCCTGTAATATAATATGGCTCTGTGGAAAGACAACGCATTGAATAGCAGGAAAGTAATCACAAATCATAATCCTAGAGGCCTTACGATAAAACTAGATCAGTTTCTTGTCCCTGCCTGCTTCCTTCTCCCCGGCCGCCTCGATTTTTAAATGTTATTTTTATTTTACTTGTCCTCTTTTAGGGTTAAATCTGCAATGATGTATTGAAATTTAAATCCTGTTTTGGATGTAGTAAAATCTCCTTTGCTTCAGACAAAAAACACTGGGCCAAAAAGTCTAGAAAATTTGATCTTCATCTAGTGAAAAATATCTCACTTCAACATAAAATGCGACCTGTCCCCACAAAATGAGCTGAAAGTAGAAATTTTAAAAAAATTGAGATATTGGTGTTTTTTGATTCAGCAGAAAGACAGCTTTCCAGTGGTATGTACATGGAACACTTGGGGTAGAAGTATAAGGTGATAATGTGGCATTATTCTGGCAGCTTTGCATCTCTGTTCCTGACATTGTTTCAACATTTCTGACCAGGCGCAAATAATGCTATCATCAAATTTGTTGAGAAAAATGACATCTTTCAATGTCTAACCCTGCGCAAAAATTTGGAATTAAACAGACGGTTTATTCTTTCCAAATATTACAAAACTCCCAAATTGAACTTCACTTCAATATGACTTTGAACTCTCAAAATAGCAAAGAATGGAAGGTGACTTTACACTCATTTGTCATGCCGGGGCACCAATACAAAGAAAGGCCCACCTCCTCCACTTAAAAAAAAAAACAAAATCGGAACGAGAAACAGATTTTTTTTTGTTTTTCTTACCTTGAAGCAGAACCAGATGGAAACAGGGAAAGTGATCAACAGCAGAAGCAAGGAGAAGAACCACAGAACGTATGTACAGAACGACATCGACTCGGCATCGTCTGTGGCAAAATGAACACAGGCATCGAGTTTGCTGTGAAATATTTTTACATCTTGACATACATGTACACAGGCAGCCCCTTGACTCATATTAGTTTGCAGTGCTCAGAGAGCTTCGTTATCCTTTTAAGCTCTCATTTTAAGTATCCTTAGGAGTGGATCCTGGGGGGTTTTTTGCAGGGGGAGGGGGTGTTTTGGGATTTTCTTGTTTGTATGAGGGGGTAGGGTAGGCGATGAGCAGATTTTTTCAATCCAACTTGATTCATCAGTGGACTGTTTTCAATAGACTTTATTGGTCTCTGTTCTAAAGCTGAATTCATTTTGGGTTTTTTTTTGGGGGGGGACTCATTTCAAGGTACACTGTACATGTATTTATTTGTAAGTCAGTAAACTAACACTCATTTTCAACCTTTTCAAGTCCTCAGGTTACAGACGGGAAAGTTGATATTTCTGCGAGAGGGCAGTACACATCATGCACGCTGTGCAGGGTTTCACAACAGATGTGCGAATGCATCTGGGGAGCTACAGACATGTATAGTGGTGCACATGAAAGTGATGCAACATAATCAGGAATGTCCACTAAAATGTTGCCGGATTACAGGAAAAGTTTGTGCATTTGTTACCCCACAACTATAGCATCTGTCCCAGCTATATCAGGCCGGGACAGTCCAAACTAACAGTGACTATGATGCTGCAGACCAAGCTGTTGGGTCTGCTCTTGTGACGTCACAGTCATGATGTTTTCAGTTCTTACAAGTGGCTGCTAAAACTATGGTTGGCTATCAGTACAAATGTAATTTAAGAATAATTTGCGAAGTGTTAAAAATTTAATGCAACTATCATACCACCCTGGATAATAATACACTGTACATGTGCTCGTTTACTGCTGCTAAATGAAAGTACAATCTTTTATAAAATCAGTGAGACATACATGTAGGCCTATGTCCATTTTGAACGAATTGAAGGTAAAATTGAAAACCAACCAAAAGGTGATATTTCTGCAAACTTTGGCCAATACAAGTTGTAGGCAATATGAGAGTGGTCGATAGCATAGTGTAGTGTGAAGAGATGAATTCATACATGGACATAATTTCTGCACTGCTTGTGACATATCAGCCATCGGAAAGTGACCAGGGAAAATATTGTATTGGAAAACAAATTATTATTTTGTATTTAAACTATTCATTATGTCCTTATTAAAAATTATGTCATTATCATTAATTGCTTATTCATTTAACTTATTTAATTTCATATTTAATTGCTTACATTATCTTTGTTCACTCCAGTCATTCCTTTTCTTTTATATTTAAATATTTTTAAGTTTTAACTTTTGGCATCAAATACTTTTATATATTAGTATTGTCATTTATATTTATTTACTCTAATCTATAAGTTTAACTTGATGTGGAGTGGCAGATCTTTGGCCACAGTGATTGTTATCGCTTTTGCCTCTCCTATGCCCATCTTGTATGTAATGAAAAAGAAATGGCATGAATAAATAATTATAGTTGTAATTGTGGGGTTAAGCGGTCAGCGCCCATCAACAATGTACACCTGAACATCAACACCTTACAGACCTACCATTTCCAGTGGTCGTCATGCGGCGATCGCTTGCTCCAGATGACCTCGGCAGAACAGGTTCCATCTCAATACCGCTTGACATGATCACGCTGGGGGTTTAGGCCAAGACGTGGGCATTAACGCATTTACGAAAAATACTACCAAAAAATTAATTAGGGGGCCTACCCAGGCATTACAGCATCAATGCCGCTTCGACCGTGCAGCATCAACACGCGGCTAGCCTTATTTATTACCGTATGCGTGTACATGTACAGTACATATATGTACATTTGTCATGTTTGTACATACGTACGTCGACATGGGCAAAATCCGGGTATTTTGGGTAGTCTGATTCCCGGACAAATTGAACGGGTGGGCAGCCGCAACTCTGTTTGGTATCTGACTACCACGGCATCTGACTGGTTCGGTGTCGTCGTCAAGTCACTACTGCTAGCTCTTGCTATTCGGAATTTATGTGTTGCCTCGTTTGAAAGTTACAGAAGCGCGTATTCACAAAAGCACAAATGCCGTCGCTATGGTATGATGACATGTAAAATCAGTCAAACCTTTAATAGTGCCAAGCACCGGCACCGTACGAATTTGCAATCAAGGTGCTATAATAACTATTCGTGGGGCATGTTAGTAAAATTGTTTTATGTTTTTTTAAAGCACATTGCGATGTATACGCCTACGCCTATTATATTTGTCTCAAATTTCATGCCTCCAAAAAAAAAATTGAACTGCATAAATACCGGTGATAAGCCAATTAGGCTAAAAGAGTGTACAGTGTTCTTTGTTTTCTCTGTTTAAGGAAAGCTACTGCAGTGGCATTAGCAAACGGTGCCATTCATGCATGTAGGCCAACGTGATGTACAGCGCGGGTACGTGGCGTGGGAGCATTGAGAAGTAGGCGCGCAGAGCGCGGCCGCCTAGCTACCGCTATACCCCTCAAACAAAATAGCGCACCCAACGTCAGCGCAGTTTCACTGAAAAGGCTAGCGCTACAGTTCAGGTTTTTCCTCTATTTATGTACGTGTTTAGTTGCGAAGGGTAACAAATAACACTGCAACTATATAGCCTACTTCAGGACTTGAAGGAATTTGACCGGTATAATAAACACATCTTCTGATATCACTGCTTACCGGAGAATTCAAACACCTGTCAAGTTTATCGTTGCTACAGAGAAGAAATATCTTCCGGAGCTCCTAGCTTTTGCATTTTTTAAAATTGGAATCTAGCTTAAAAAGTTGATGCATCCATGAGCATTACAGGGCATCGGATTCAAAAGTTGGATATCTGTTGAAGAATCAGAGGCTACGAGGGATTGACGAGTAAGTAAGCATATCAATGGGCATCGCGGGGGAAGGGGTCAACGTAGTGCTTGCATCCCCGGAGAGAATTAAAAACAAGGGGAAAAAGTGAACGAAATTTTACAGAGAGGGAGGGAGACTGCACATAAAGGTCGTCCGACGGAAATCAATAACTTGCTTTACAAAACCTAGAAATTAGACCCCTGCCATGGATTTCAGTTCGTTGGTGGCGAGTACTTTGCCCAACCAGGAAAATAAAATTTAAGCTCTATGTCTCCCACCATACATTGGAACTTTCTGGCGAGGCCTTACGGGCACCCCCTCTTGTGGTTTTGGTATGTCAAGTTTGTAAAGTACAGAAACACAAGAAATAAAACGATAACTGGTCTGCCGTTGCATGAAATAAAAATGTGCAGTTCCCATCATAATTATATCTCATTTCCCGGGTTAGTTCATAAATGCCAGACACGCCAGACTGAATTTCCATAGCTTATGTGATAAAACAGAAATAGAGCAGAAAACACATTAAAATTTCCAAATCAGAAGTTCATTGTGATATAAAAATTGAAAAACGACTGGATATATATATGAAAGACTGAAAAAAGGTTTGTGAACGATGGGAAAGCTTTTATTTCAACGAAACTATAAAGAAAACTCTCATCGCTTCATGCGTTTTGTGTTGACCGAACTTCAGCAGCTGGTGTTTATGATCTGAGTCACTGCTTATTGAGTTCAAAACACTTTTTCACACGTCTACGATGTTTTCACTTGTAAGACCAACTGCATTTAAACCATGCAGTATGAAAACGAAAAGTGGCCATCTGCTATCAGAATAGTAGAAAAGCAGATTTTACGTCTTTGCAACATGCTATTTTTGACTTTTCCACTTTTCTGCTAGGCCTACTACAAAAGCAGTTTTACTATTCCTCTTTTTGTTGGCGGCCGAAAAGTGGCCATCTGCTTTTCTGCCCTCAATGAGTCGTGAATGGGGTCGTGAACCTGTAGGTTACGACCATTTCCGTTCTGGGGGAGTGAAGGCGTGGAAACCAATACTTCAGAATACTTTCCGGGGACCAATCCAATACGGTAGTATCACTGTCCCTGTGAGGCCGAGAAAACAGCATCTCAAAGGAAATATACCAGAACAGGTTAACAGCTATCATTCATAGACACACACGCTTGCTTGGGCCATGGAAAACGTGAATCTTTCATAACAAAAGACAGGGTGGACTGTAGTTCTTGGTTTATACGTCTTCAATTGCTTGGAAAGGAAATGGTCATAACCTGAGGTTCACGACCCCGTTCACGGCACTTGGAAGGCTGAATAGCATGAAGATGGCCACTTTTCGGCCGCCTGCGTAAAATATGCTTCTCCGGTATAAAAAAAAGCTGAAAAGTAAAATTCGCGGTTTGTGTTAAAACGTCCTATCCTCCCTTCTGCCTGTTCGAAAGGAGAAACGCAGATGGCCACTTCTCTGCCGCCAGCGGATAAAGAAAAAAAAATCTGCTTTTCTTGAATCAGAAAAGCAGAAAAAAGAAGAATGCGTAACCAAACAATGGTTACGCATTTTGAGGTGGCAGAAAAGTAGGAAAGTCGAAAATTGCATGTTACAAAACCATAAAATCGGCTTTTCTACTATTCTGATTACAGAAAAGCAGATGGCCACTTTTCGTCTCCCATAATTTTGAAAACTGATGTTTTGGAGAGATAAAATAAAATTACAAACATTGCATGGATAATGGTACAATGTATCAAAATTTAAAAAAAGATTATTCGCAATGGCAAAAGTAGATCTAATGTTAGAGATTTTTCGCTCTCTTTCTCCTGGTCACGGCGACAAGTCGTAGTTAATTACAAACAAAACACCACATATTGCTAGAATACTACTCGTCCCACTTGTCAGGCTAAGCTGCAGGCAGTAATTGGGCATTTTTGGAATGTTTGTCTGACCAGGCAGCGATGCGATGACACAGAAGGAGTTGTGACTCCTTCTATGTCCTTCCTCCATTGTTTAACAAAGACAAAACTACCCGGTCGGTGAGCAGTTCTCCATCAATAATTGATTTGGCCCCAATGCCGTCAATATTCTCCTTTTTAACCCATGCATCCTTTGAAATGTTCCCTTGTGGTACATATTGATTGTCCATCTTGCGATATTTTATACATGATTAAATACATGATTAAAAAATCTACTTCAACTTCTGTTAAACCTTTAGCATTACTGATAACGTTCACCTTGAGTGCCTTTAATAGTTGTGGAGTTTTCCAATACATTTCACAACTACATGTATATAGATGTTATATAGCTGGTCCTGCCGTCAGCTACGGGAGGGGCCTTTCATCTGACAACTTCACTGACCTCTTGCATTTAGCAATATAATATACCCTTTTAAACCAGGACAAACCTGCAAACATGAAATGTGTACTCTAAAGGCTGTTATCCCCAAATTTCTCACTGTATTTGAAAATGCTTTTCACATGTTGGATTTTTAATAGCTCAGTCCAGTATTTCTATCGTGAAATATTACAAACAAAAGGGCAGACACTGGGACACTAAATTTGACGTCACTGTGACGCGTATCACCCTATATGTACACACGTATCCTCTTTTGCTGCGAGACAGATTTTTCCGACCACTCTATAGGTGTTATCCAGAATAAAAACGCTAAAAGCACTCTAGTTACAGGTCAAATGAATAGTATAAATGTATAAATTAGTACACGGTATAGTCAATTATTGTTACAGTATAAGTCGATAAATTAAAACAATGAAATAAGTTGTCGTGATAAATGTATAACCACCTTGAGTAAGAATAACATTACTTTAAGGACTCGTCCAAAGGGCAGGAGTACATGCAGTTTTTCGACAATGTGATTAAATGTAACTTGGGTAGATCACATGCCCCGCCCTTTCAGGTCATACCTCACTTGATCGTTACTATTATTATTTTTTCAAGATCCCAGACAGGATGTCAATAGGCAGCGGGAAGATGATGGTGGAGTTCTTTTCAGCCGAGATGGAGTTGAGGGTCTGGAGGTAGCGGAGCTGGAGGGCGTTGGGCGACTCGGCAATGATGTCTGCCGCCTCCTTCAGGGCGCGGGATGCGTTCTGCTCACCCTCGGCAGCGATCACCTGTTCGGTGGGAGTAATGGTAAGACTGTTAGCTGAGTAATTACCAATCTCGAAATTTGCCCGATCAGGTAATTCCGTCATTTTGCTGGCATCAAATCTCCTTATTGTCCCCCAAGAAACGTTGTAACTGATGCATAAATGTAATGACTTACCTTGGCGCGAGCCTCCCTGGAGGCTTCAGCCTCGGCAGCCATGGCACGCTGCATCTGGATTGGCAGGCGAACGTCCTTACTATTTATCAAAAAAGGAGGAAATGTACATGCAATTATGCATTGCATTTGAAGAACTTTGAGATGCACGACAAATGCACCGCACAGTATTGACAGATATCGTAAGTATGGATATCAGATGATGAGAAATGTGTCACATCTGCACTTTTTATCAAGAGTATATTAAAAGTCATTCGTTTAGTCAACTACGTCATACATTGGACGCACGCATGACTGAAAGACGCTTCAAGTTTTTAGCTGTGACTTTTCAGCTCAGCAATATTTATTCACGGTTGACTAGTGCGGTCAGAATCAAAGGGTAGAACGTCATGTCGCGCAGCTGGGAACTCACATCTCCACGCGTTCCACCTTGATGCCCCACGGATCGGTGGCTTCGTCCAGTTGAGACTGCAGTCCGGTGCTGATCTCCTCGCGATGGCTCAGCACCTCAGCCAGGGTCTTGGTGCCTAGGATGTTACGCAGGGTGGTGGCGGCAAGCAGCTCGGTGGACCGCTTGTAGTTCTCCACGTTCAACACGGCCATGGTCGGATCAGACACGCGGAAGTAGACCACGGCATCCACAGTCACGGTCACGCTGTCTTTAGACAGGATCTACAATAGAAAGAAATTGTCTCATTTTTATACAATGTACACGTAGTTTGTGCTGAAGCAATAAAAGTTTTCATTCGTGCGTGCACTTTTTAGTAGCCTGCGTACCTTTAGCTTGGATTCTGCGGCACCAGACTCAACTACATGGAAATCTTTGCTAACGGTCCTTGGACACATCAGATCTGTTGCCAAAGTCGTATCAATGTGAGCACAAAGTGCGAAGATCATATTCGCGAGGACCACAAAATAACTAACCTCTTGTGGCGGCACATCAAAGGAGAGAGTCCGGAGGTCAACGACTCTGAACTCATCGATGCAAGGCAGGATGAAGAACAAGCCAGGCCCCTTGGGACCACCCGGTAGAAGGCGACCGGCACGGAAGATGATGGCTCGCTCGTACTCGGCAACCGTCTGAGAGAAATGTGAACACTTTTATAAGCAAACTTCTAAAGAATTGGAGAGGAACCCGAAGAAGTTCCAAAATATCTTTTATTAGTAGTCCAATTACTGCTCACAGAATTATGTGGTAGAAGTGGGTTCGGGTTTGAACGGCCCCCCCCCCGGCTTTTTCGTTCAAAATTTGCCGAAACTGATGAAAGATCGTGGGAACTGCATTTTGGAAGGAAAGTGAATTCCAAAAAAATTGTGAAATTTCAAAAAAAATTGAAATTTCCAAAGTAGTGAGGAGTGGAGGCTACACTGGCCATGTATACACCCTTTTCTCACTATCCCCCCCCCCAAAAAAAATACTAGCGCATGCCCCGTTGTCGAGGCAGAATCACGCTTATAATAGCTGGATTTTGTTCCTGCGGAAAGCCTTTCAATTCAGCCCTGCTGACGAATCCTGGGTGCACAGCATACACGGCGATATCTTGACTTCATTTTCGTGAATCGCTTATCTGCACCAGGAATCGAAAAATGCCGAGAAAAAATTGTTTTCATTATGTTGCATAGCCTTTCTGATCACCTTCAGCTTAAGCACACGGTGAGGACGTAAGAAAGTAACGTTTGGCGACTTCTTTACCCAGGCCAGCTGAAGGGTCATTTACATAGTCACGTGGTAACGGGAGACCTAGCGGACAAAGCGCGCGGTTCGGCGATGAACCGCTGTATTTGGAAACTAAGACACCGCGCTGCAGTGCGTTTTGACCAATCAATGGACTCATTAGGCATGACGTCAGGGATCCACTGGAACGGTTTAATGCTTCCCGGTTGTTCCTTCAATCCTCATTTATTATTATAGTGATCACGTGGAAAATCATAAACGTAACGATTTGCATAATGAGCGGGTTTCCGCCTTGCGCAGATTGTCGCGCAGCATAGTTTTTACGTTATCCGTTACGCTTGTCACTGTAAATAAGCCCTTTGCTTATCAAGTAGAAAGAGCATTTCCAGCAAACCTTGAAGCAGTAACACAGTGAAAATGGAAGCGTGAATACGAAGATGATGTACGACAGCACTATCAGCACATAAGTAGCGCAGCTCAACTCCTCGTCATCCCTCACTGTCAAAATACAAACAGAACATGCCACTAATTAACTTTCTGTGCATCGGAATGAAGCGAGAAGACGATACGGCAGGCTTTAACGTGAAATTATACGTACTTCGTAGTAAGGTTTATAGGTAGGTAGGCAGATGAAAAGATGTTTATTGTTTGTTTGTTTTTTAGCCCTTTCTGTGCATCTTCTGTGCATTGAAAGCCGTCGACATGTAATCAACTAGTTCGGTTCGGTTAAGAAAAGGTGCACGAACAGCAATGGTAATAAGACTTCCCATACACATCGTGGCGATATAAAGCAACACCATATGCAGATAATAAAATATCGACATCTTAAACAGGAAAGTGGAAACATGAGTATTCGTTTAAATGGTCTCCAGTGATATTCTAGTTATTCCGATAGGTAGGTCCGTCCGGTAATTACGAATTAGGCTTTGTCTCTGGAGGTGTTCTTAGTTCTTGGTTCCAACATATTAAAGGTAGTATCACGGCAGGAACGAAGCCCAGGCCAAGCAGACAAGTTGAGCTGGATGAGACGGTCAAGCACAACGTGATGGAGACACTTGGAGGTGAAGAAGGCAGGGTTGGCTGATGTAAATCACCGATTTAGATTGCGATTTAAATCAAATGATTTTTAAAAATCACTGGTTTAAATTAATACATTTAATTATTTTGGGGAAAGGCAAGAATGTTTCAACTTTTAAACTTCTCTTCGACTGATTGGTTTATTTTGGGAAGTTTTGCACATTTCTTTAAACAACGAATCCCCCCTCTGCCAGCCTTTCAGTTCTCAGTATTAATCAGATGTATGAATGCAACGTGTTACACACAATCTGGGTCGGCAGGATGTTTCTTTTTATTGGTTCAATTCAATCCACTTGTTTGGATTTAAATCAGCTCTTTGAATTCAGTGGATGAATTCGATACGAAGGATTTGTAATCACGATTATATTTCACTTCATTTAAATTGCCCACTTCAGAGTTTGACACTGTGAAATATCAGTGTACCTCAACCTTTATCTCGACAAGTACACATGTATTTTATTGCAGTGAAACTAACACCAGTAAGAACCCGCTCTTAATAAAGTGATTTTTAATCCAGTCTAGGTCATTGTTGCTCTATTGTTCACAAAAGAGCTGAACAAAACCAAGGTACTTTTGTGCATATTACAGCAAGGTAAAATACCAGCATTTTGTACCTACATGTACATGTACCTGTAGCATGTAAAATAAATACATGTACATGTGGTTGGTGGCATCCTCATCACTCATTAGTTATTGGATACATGCACGAGTACCGCGGTATACCCTGTCGGCGAATTCTTGTGAACACTAGTTTTGTCAAAACTTAGTTTGGTTTAAAACCTGGTACGCACTTTATCCTTGCATGTATGTACTATACTAGTCTTGGCCCAAGACGTCAGGGATCGATAGTTGTTTTATTTCTGTTGAAGAGCGCCCTCGCACAACTAATTTTTACTAGTACCATACCGTACCTGTCTCTGAAAGCAATGTTGCCTCTGCAGGTACATGTACCAAGAGGGGACACTACGTGCATTGCACTGGTTTAGACAATATTCAAGGTGGTTTCTGAATATAGTCAATTACTTGATTTATATTTCTTAATTCAAATCCAAAGTTATTCAATTTTGTTGTAAAGATATAAATTAAAGAAAATTAATACATCTGCAGCTAATTTGCTTGCTTTTGAATAAATAAAGCAGCCAACTTGTTCCCAGTTTTCATAATAATTAAAAAATCTGATTTAGATTTAACAACTAATTAAACTTAGCAAACGAATAAGCAAACAAAAGACTTGTAAGAAGGCTATCTTGAATTAATTCTCTGCCAGATGATGGGAAGACGGTGCAGTTGGATAAGTCGTTTGGAAGTCTACTCACGCAATGTTGGCGGTAAATAAAAGGCGGGCAGTGTATATTGTTGATACTGAAGACCCGACTCAGTAATGCCATAAACGTGTACATACAGCAGACGGGGACAGACTTAGACTAAACGACCTTTTCAATTTGAACTTGGTAAATATAGCCTATGTTTAAATATAAACATGGTCTTTTCCCGCGCTATTTCAATGAATGGTTTAATAACTGTCAGTATATTCCCATTCAACTAGAAGTGCATCCAGAGGCAACTATTATGGTAATTAAAACCATACTTCTGTTTCCAAAAATGGTCTTATTTCACTTTGTGTGTCCTTTGGACGTGACCTTAATACGGATATGACAAGACTTTCAACGCAAAACACATTTACTGCAAAACTCAAAACCTGCCTTATCAGTTTGTGTCATGAAAATCAGATCATGTTATCATGCCAGTCTACACTTTCATTCTTTAAAGGTCTGGTGTCAACTGTTAGCACATCTGTCTTAGGCCGTGTCCGAAACGGGCTTCCAGAGCTATGGCTAGGTCTATTGTCTGCGCGTCTCCACACATTTCCAATGGAGCGAAGACCTAGACCTTGCTCTACACAAGAGATCCGGTGCGGCCTTACTGTTGTCTATATCCTGCCATGCAGTGTATTATATTGTATTGACTCATGTGTTCTGTCTTACGTACATGTACGTTTCATGTCCAGTCTGAATCTTTGTGTAAAAGGAACAGCCAAAAGCACAGTGCTTCATTTTCCCCTACATATTGGTAGTTTAGAACAGGCCAGTTCCCATTAATAAAAAAATTGTTGTTGTAACAAATTTCCCTATGTTTGTGTGACACTTGGTTACTTGTGATTTCTTTTGCCGCCGACATGAAAATAAACTCCAACCTATAATAGGGAATAGGATCCAGTGGGCCTACTTTGATATTTTGCACCATGGAGGCACGTACATGTACTGTACATGAAGCCTTATCGGCGTGGTCATGGTGGTATGTCCATACCAGGCTCCTTGTCTCTCACTAGGGGGCAGCTTCTCTTCTCTCTAACAAAAATAAATTCTGGCCCTTAAGCGAAATTAATCTAGCGATAATCATAAAATATACATGTATGCATAATATTATTCATTCAAGCTTTGTACAAGACCAATAGGACCCAAGCTACACGCGTTGAGTCCTGTGTAGACGAACTATGTACGTACATGTAGGTACTGTACATTGGCTCTTCTAAATAAAAGTGCAGCATCGGGATAAAAAGCCTAAGTTTCGTTTGGTGCCTCCATGTATAATGTTTCACATGCATACTTCGCCATAGCCGCACAGACAGGCTCAGCATCCCCTCATATCATGTTAAACATGTACTCGATACTCACCCTCCTGGACCTGCGTGTTCCGTGGCATACTGCTAAAGCCGCCTTAAAAAAGTCACGGGCCAACAAGACACCGACCAAAACTGGAGGAAAATTCTTAGTTAATGGACTGTGCGCCGATCGGAAAGGTTTCTTGTAACTAAAGAATGGAATGAAGAAGCCCTCCAATATTCGTTGCTCGACAGCAGCAAACTTCGAAATCTAACGGGAAGGGCCCAGTGCCGCAAAAAAAGATGAAAGCATTACATGCAGTAGACTAATGCATAGCTACGTATAATGCAAAGCAGCAAAAGCCACTCATGTTACGTAACGCATTATGGACAGAGTTATTTAATAGCTACAAAGGGTCAATATTTTGAATGCATGCAGACCTTGTGCAACTAAGCAACCAAGTTTACCTACACCACGTTAAGAAGGCTTTACATTTGACTCGCCAATGACAAAATAAGTACATCAACACGTACAGTTAAAACAGAACTTAAATTTAGACCCAGCCAACGGGATACCAGTGCCGAGGCTAGCAGCATGCAGGCTGTTTGAGCGCTTCTCTTGGGCATTTCCTCATGGACAAAGACCATTCCATTTTGAAAGCAGGGGCGTACCTCGAAGTTTAGTCTAAATAAATCCTAATGTAGCGCAATTCCTTAGTTATGAAAACTTTGAACCCGATTCAAGTTGGCAGTTTGAATGTTATTTGGACCACTTTCGGTTCACCACCACTTTGTGTTACCGAAACTAGAAGAGTTCGTATACAGCAACATGTTCAACTCCAAACCTTGCCGAAAGAAATTTAGAATTTTAAGTTGTCCACTTTTTGTGGTACCGCAGAATTCTCCAAAGTAAAATTCGAATTTCTGCAAGGAGAAACCTTCTAAACGGATGCCAGGACTTCCCAAACATAAAAATCGTGAAGCAGAAAATAAGAAATAGTTGCCTCATGGCTTCGCTTGTTACGCAGCACCCACACAAGGCACTGGGAAGGAAAAATCATGACGTCATGTTTGTCGAGTAATCAATGGATAGAATTGATTAATTTTGAACAATTAAGAGGGTTAACCTTTACGCGCGTGACACTTGCGCACTGATCTGGTTAAATGGCCTCGAGCTGGACCAAGAGAGGGCGCTATTAAACTTAGCAGTGGAGGCTCCTGTCTGAGCTGAACTTTGCCGGTTCACAATCGACTTGAGGAAATGAACCTGTTACGGTCGCATCGCTTCCAGAAAATTGAACACTCCCGACCAACGCAGATCTTTTCAACCGATAATGGAGTGCTTTTGCTCGAGGCGTATTACAGCAGCAAGTAACTAATCCAGCTTTGTGCGTGTGTAGCTGTGACGCGGTCAAAAAGATATGTAAAATGCGTAGATTTTTGCCCTTTCTAGCACCCTGTGTGGGTGCTGAGTGACGAGCGAATGTGGATGTGAATTTTTCTTTTTGTCGGTGGTGTTTGATTCGAAAACTTAAAGGTTAATTTAATCAGGAAAAGACAAACAAACAAACAAAAAACATCAAGGCAGCAATTCAACCAAACATTAAATTTCAGTCTGTTATTTGCATATCTTCAAAGAAACTATATGAATAATGCATTATTAAAATAAGATAAGCGATGCGCGTGTAAAGAATAAATTAAATTCTTCACCTCACCGTTAACTAAACATCATACGTGTACCTGGTTTGCATTCAATGCGCTGCCCATAGTTATGGCGGTGAAGCCCTGTGTATTATGGTATTATCAAGCCAGAGTTGTTCATGGCGTGGATAACCTCCATAGAGGTAGCTACCTCCATGTTCAGCAACTGCAGGGACATCCGTCATGTACATATTCACTGAGTAGTCCAGCAATAAAAAATACTGCAACCATGGGCGTCAATCGGTGGGGGACGGGGGGACATGAGTTTGTTTGTGCATTCAGTTGGGGACCCTGAACAAAAGAGGACAATAAGGTCCCCTATCGACAGAGGGTCCCCGATTGACAACTGTGTACAAAACATATGAGTGGTCTTTCCTAAACATCATTGGTGTATTAAAGTTAATAGTTCTCGTTATTTACTAATTAAACACATGTTTTTGTAAACACATGTCTTACTTATGTGTGATATTCGTAAGTGTACAATGCTCGAGTACGCATGATCATAATGAATCGATGAACTTGCCACGTGGTTTTGTAGCAGGCGTAGAACTAGTTGGCGCGTTGCCTACATAGATTCCCTGCGTGAAAGCAAGTGTTGCACAGCCTTACACAAGGTACATGTAATCGCGAATTGAAGCGAGTCACTGATGCCTGCAAAGAATGGCGAATGAGGCCTACCTGTGTTCAGCCTGGCCGATGAGCCTTCATCTGCCGAATTGTTCCCCATCTCATTCAGCGGTAGGTTTTGTGATGACATTCGATGATTGGTAGCCTCTTTGTGACACAGTGCCCTATGGGTGCCGGCGAAAACAGTTATTAATTGGCTGTTAATTTTCTGCGGACCTCCGAGTCCCCGAAATGCAGACAAAGTTTAACCATGGTTTAACAGTTCGAAGGTGCATAGCTGAGGCCAAAGTCTCCCACGACAGCCCCCTCATTGCGCTTTGATAACTCGTGACTGTTACGTAACAGCTATGAATACGTATGCGAGCAGAAACGCCATAATGATAAGCATGGGCTGAACATTGCTGTTACTGAGTCAACCTGTGAGTCAATGTCATGTTTGTACTTATATTAGTAAGTACAGTTTGGACAGCAATCTGTTAATCCGTATAATACCACATAGTGAGAGGGCCTATAATATCTCAATCTCAAATGGGGGTGGGGTTGTGTAACTTTATTTATGATCTTTCAGAGAAGTTAGGTTACGTGAAGGAGCTTTCTACAAGCTGTTAGATTGAGGGGAAATTAAAAAAAGCTTTTATTCGTTTTTTTCTTTAAATTGTTTTGGCTAATTTCTTCGGGGAGGGGAGCATAGCTTTGTTTCTCCCCCTCCCCCACGCATGAACCTAAATTGAATCTGATGTAGCATAAAATAAATTAACAAAATCGCTGAAATATTTTCAATGTTACCAAAAATCTGTAGTTTCAGTCCGTCATCGACAACCAGGACATTTATGTAGCCACCCTGTCAACAAGGACTCTTGCTATTCATCACCAACGTGCCTTTTGTTCAGACTCTCCACAGGCATACATTGTTAACTCGTAGTGGTTTATCCACTTCAATGCTTATGAAAAGGTAGCTGCAGCTACGAAAGCTTGTGCCTCAAATTCTAATCTTTCAGGATAATCCGCTATCGCCTACTGCATGTACATTGATGTTTCAAGCAGTGTGCGATTAACTGACGAGCCAGCCTATGGCATCCTGCGCCCCATCTTCACCTTAATGCTTGTACACCAAATCAGCGTTACCACAGAAATCTGAAAACCAAATTCCATGAATTTCCCTGTACTTTCCAGGATCGTGACAAAAGGTGACAATTTCCACGACATTTAATGACATTCATTGAGAAAATATTACGAAGTTGAAGACTGCCACAGCCACTACCACGACAAGGATGGTAGTTGGAAAAGGACGTCAAGTAGAACGACTTGTACCATATGCATATTATGCCAGGACGCATAAAATACGTCTTGTACACTTCCATGACATTACATGTACAACCTGCAAAATTAATTTGCGCTAAAAAGTGTAAGCATTTGTGATATGCATACATGTATGACGCAAGTCGTTAAACGTGACCTCCCTTTCCAACTACCGACAAAATGATAGCCAGTAAATTGATCTTCATTCCATCAGAAGCGGCCTATCAAAAAATAACTCGTGCATTATCTTGCTTTCCATGACCTTTCCGTGACTTATTTCCTCTCACAATAAGATTCCAAGACGCTTATTTTTTTTCCAATTTCCCACGACTTATACCAGGAATTTCCATAACCGTGGGATCCTGCGAATACACAAAGATAGCCGCTATGTTAATCCCACAATGTAAGGGGGCCTTTCTATAACTTTAGGGTACGATGTGACATTTTATCTGTCCATTATACCTGACCCGTGTGATTTTATAAGGTATACATGTATATGATTGAAATTGTTTTGACATGAACATTAACATACACACTTAATTTGCATTACTCAGTCATTCTTGGAAATTGAAGATTGTGTTTTAAACTGCCCTTCAGACTCCACACCCCTTTACTTCGGTCCAGAAGAGAGTCCACTGGAGGTCATTTTAGGTTGTGAGGCACAATTTAACGTGGTTTCTCTTGTCAAGATTCAAGTCGAGACGGGCAAACTCAAAAGAATCAACTACACCCAGACGTCCGTGATTTGACTATCTCTACTGAGCACATTTTAATGGTAGCCTACATAACCGAAAAGGAGAGGGGTACATTCCATAAAACCACAACAGAAGTCTCTTGTAACCTGTATGTACGCTAGGTGTTATTGACTGAGTAAGGTCATCTCTCCTGACCCACTTTATAACTTCACTGTAGTCTTCAAATCGAAAAGCCATATACTGAAAATCGCTCATGTTTTGCAACCTAAAAATAACGTATACCTGTGAAGTAAGTTTTAAGTTATGCGCCAAAAACACAAAGCAGTTTTTGGTTCAAAAAAGCAAAGTGTACTTTTGTTCCAGCTTGAAAAGGTGGATCAATACAAATATAAGGTACAGTAATGAACAAGTAAACAGCAGCTAAGGAAAAAAGTCCTTATTAATAAGGGGAAAACAAAATGTAAATGGAACAAAGATATAGACTCTACTATTATACGCTCACTCAATTTGCAAACAAAATTGTGTATTGAGTATTGCAATCCACAATATGGATTTATCTAAAATGCTATATGAAACAAACAATATACTTAAGAGAAAATGTACAGATTTCCAACTGCACACTCACTCTGAGATATTGTACACCAGAAAATTACGATCAGATATGTTATTAATTTTGATCTATTCACCCACAAGAGTTGAGGCCTTCAGATGACACAAATTCAAGCAATTTGTTGGCTAGCAAAAGTCTGTGCTGAAAATGGTCCGAGAAAGGTGTGTTGTGCGTTCAGGGGAGAATGTCACTCTGTGTCGGACTGCCGCCTTCAAACAATGGGAAGGAGGGCTGCGTTGAGGTCGGCCTGGCAATTACTCGCCCTCAAATTCGTTGACTTCGATGACTTCTTCTCCAACAAAGAACTCGATAACCTCCTCGTCTTCCTCCTCCACGGAAAACATGCAGTCCGTGTCCAAGCCTGATGGTGACACAAAAACAAAAGTGGAACCTTTTTTTTCTCAACATCTGCACTGCACGCTGGGTATTTAAGGCAAACCAGATGACACGCACGTACCCATAAGCTCTTGACAGTGTGCAGGTTGGACAGTTTGACTCAAAAAATCCCAAATTCTGTTGTTGCACAGGTGAAATGTAGTGTAGTCACTGTCAACATCAAACTTGCCAGCTAAATTAACCCTAACACTCCTCAGTCCTCCAACAGGTGAAGGATTGAGGAGGGTTATGGTTAAGGACTACACACAGATTTAGCATTCTAAGTATCAGGGCAAGTGTACAGATGAGGGAATTCCACTTGGTAAAAATATCATACTGATAATCAGTAAGCCACTGCTGAGTGATTTTCAAGAGATACTGTGCTGAGGCTGTTCATTCTGCCCAAATCCAGGGTCTCAATAGGATTGGCTTGGAGCCTGTAATAATACTCACACATGGCTGCAGCCTACTCACATATGGCTGCGGCCTACTCACACATGGCTGCGGCCTACTCACACATGGCTGCAGCCTACTCACACATGGCTGCGGCCTACTCACACATGGCTGCGGCCTACTCACACATGGCTGTGGCCAACTCACACATGGCTGCGGCCTACTCACACATGGCTGCAGCCTACTCACACATGGCTGCGGCCTACTCACACATGGCTGTGGCGAACTCACACATGGCTGCGGCCTACTCACACATGGCTGCGGCCTACTCACACATGGCTGCGGCCTACTCACACATGGCTGCGGCCTACTCACACATGGCTGCGGCCTACTCACACATGGCTGCGGCCTACTCACACATGGCTGCAGCCTACTCACACATGGCTGTAGCCAACTCACACATGGCTGTGGCCAACTCACACATGGCTGCGGCCTACTCACACATGGCTGCGGCCTACTCACACATGGCTGCGGCCTACTCACACATGGCTGTAGCCAACTCACACATGGCTGCGGCCTACTCACACATGGCTGTGGCCTACTCACACACAGCTGCGGTCTACTCACACATGGCTGCGGCAACTACAGCAGCTGCAGCAACTATCACAGACTTCTGTGTAATTCCAAGTCATTCCGAAATGGCCTCAAACAATGATTTGCCCACTGGACGGGCTACATCTATCTTGTGTAAAATGTACAATATCACAAGGTGTAAGTCTTTCCATTTCTGTTCCTGCTTGTCTGTGTAAACGGGCCCATAACAATTAGAGAGCACAGCCTTTCCTGCATCCGTTGAGCAGCTGGTTGTCATGTACCACCCCCTAGCAGTTAAAGTACAGGGTCTCTTTAAAAAAAAAAAGGAAACCGAGATTAATTGATCTGTTTCTTGAATATGACTCATTATTTTAGTAAATGGAAAAAATAATCTCTTTCAGTATGATGTTCTCTTTCTAATGACATCAAGAACTCCACATTTCCTGTCACACATGACTGAGCACATAGTGCTTTAATGGACCGTGTCAGAAATAGCTTTGCACCAGATGCATCACAGGTTTGCCCAGCGTGAAGCATTCAGTACCCTACCAAAATCATTAATTCAACAACGGCCAAGGTTGGGGGCTTATTCTTGTAGCAACCTAACCCAGTGTCCTTCAACATGCCCCCCCCATTTCTTTCAACGTAAACTTCTGCCCCTGTTCTCATTGCTTTTAAATGGGTATTTTGGAGATTCCAGCAAATACTGCAGAATTGTGACGAGAAAGCCATATCTGAACAGTATGAAATTCAACAGCAAAACAGCTATTTGGTACAAAGCCATTTCTGACAAGGTCCATTAAACCACTTCGTGCTCAGTCGTCTGTGACGAGAAATTTGGATTTCTTGGTGTCATACAAAAGAGGACATCATAATGAAACTGATGATGGTGACCATTTACCAGAGCAATCAGTCCCAGTCAACAAAAAAACAAATGTATCTCAGTTTCCTTTTTCTACGACACCCCATATAGGCAGCAATTACTGAAAGATGTGCAAGCCTCCTTCATCCTGTCGCTCTTACCGTCTCGCAGGTCAATTCGCGATTGTCTCTCCTCTTCGTATCGCTCCTGCTGCTTCTCCCGGAACAAGTTGAACTCGTCCAACATCTGCTGGCGCTTCTCAATCAGCTCCTGGAAGTGCCGATCAAGGTAAGTGACAAAGGGGCAGACGGCATTACACTGATGTTCTTTTGTTACCAGATAATGTGCTTCTCCCTTCTCGAAAGGAGTCATGGCCCGAGTTGCAACAAAATCGCGACCCCCCCGCCCGATGATTTTGGCTAAGCAAACGTGCAAGGTCATACTTCTAACTTCCAAACTGCGGATACCCCGATACTTCTTGGCAAGGAAGTCCGGTAAATCAAGGCCCACAAAGAAAGCCAAACTAAAAAGGAACAGTATCTTTTTGGTTTATGCTATAAGGATTGACTGGCAAAAGGAGTAATAAAAGAAATGGGATTTATTGAGCAATCTCTCAAGAATATCTCTGTTTGAGAACGTATTGGGGCATTTACCAAATTAAAGCAAAATTCCCATTTAATCAAGCACATTATGCATGTTATATGAGGTGGTATATGCAGTTGTGAACCTGGGGAACATTTTTCGGCGGGCATCAATTTGATTTCTTTTTTGGGGGGAGGTGTAAGAATCTGTGCCACCTCAAGAGTTAGCGGTTTAAAACACTGACCAAGGCAGACTATCACTAGACTTCTTCCTTATCTAATTTCTGAGCTTGGGGCAAGGGGGATGGGGGAAGGCACAGGCCCTGAGCAAGGAACCATCCCATCCCCCAGTTATACCCAATGTGCATTTGTAGTGGCACATCTGTAATCAATGGAAAGGCACTTGAACAGGAAGCGTGTTCTGTGGAGTCACAGACAAAGAAACCTACAGGCCTACGTCCTGATGATGTCACAATTAATGTATGTGCTTCCCTATGGTGCACACTGGACTGTAGGCCCCTACCGGCTCAAAAGGAAAGTGCAATGTAAGGCTTTTGGGCTGATAACCTCTTTCTGCTGAGCAAATATATTCTGTGCTTAGCAGGTTCCTGAGCTTAGCAAGGACAAGCCAGTGAGTTTTGGCTCCAGGGCTGCATAAAGTTGCAACGATCACAATGGACCAAACAAAACCAGCTCATGCTACCACCCAATACCAAAGTGCAATTTACAGATGCACTTGTCTCCACCCTGAAAGTAACATACACACTGTCCTTTATCATGCCAGCACAATGATTGTGAGGGAGCAGTCCAAGTCCAAATGATTCAAGACTCGCACACCCCTGCACTTGACTTTTAAACTACTGTTCACCGTGTGGTGCTTTATTGCCATAAATGTTTCTAGCAAAGCAAATTTTAATATGACTCTGGGAGCCCAGCATATTGGCAACACGGGAGTCCGCAACCAATTTTCTTGTTGGCTCATGATCAATGATTGTAAAACACATAACAGAATCTTCTACTGACTGAAAACTGATGTCATCATGTTTTATTTCCACTGATATGTTCTGTTATATTTCCTTAGGCGCACTGCGTGAGGATTTATTTTCAAGCCTTTGATGGGATGAAATGCCTAGTTGTTTCTCCAAAATTATCAAAAAGCCAGAAAGTAGCGGGAATTCTATCTTCCGTGAGCAAGCTCTCTGACCCTGCTTCTTACCTTGGAAGCCTTGGAGTGGCTCATGCGATCCTTCAATTCAAACTGCTTGCTGTAGGACTTCATGTTCTTCTTGATGTCCTGGTTGTGAAAACAACGCCAAAATATCAACATCTCTCACTCTTGGAAATGACTTTGAATGCTTCTTTACCCAGAAATACAATTATGACAGTAATTTCAGACCACTGCAATAATACAGTGCATTGTGAAAGCTAGGTACTTAAAAATTGTGTGGATTTCTCACAAACGCCAAAGACCACATCACGAGAGAAATGGACTTTGCAAGCACAAAGTACTCAAAGGTTTATTAAAACAAGCATTCCTTGTATCCACATCTTGATTTATAGGATTTTCAGAATGTTGTATCATACACTAAAGTGTAAAAGAAAGAAAGTCTTATTTAATGATTTTCTTTTATTTTCTGAGATTTTTCTGGAAATTTAAAAGCAAAAGCTAAAATCTGGACCATGGTGATCAAGCAACTGGCGAATTGGAGAAAATAGATTAGCGACAGAAATATATCAAGCTGTTTTTTTTTCCAGTATGGACTTCTTCCTTTCAGATGCGTCATCTCTGGTTTCCATACCTTTAGGTGTTTCTCGGTGAGCAGAGATGAAGGACGGGGACGCCAGAGAAGCTGACAGAATCGATCCTGGTTGCACTTCTGCAGCAGTCGACCTTGGAAGCTCCAGACCCAGTAGGCATTATCCACCTGTTAAACAAGCGTGAGCAGATCAAACGCAGCAATCAGAACACACAGGTGAAGGCAAAGTACATTATCTTAAGCTTTTTCCTGCAACTACAGGTTTTCAGAACTCTATTTCAGATTGCACTCAAAGGATCCATTCCGTCCTTGCTAACTGTGACTGGGTGTGTGGTTCAACTTGAAAAGGGAAACTTTCAATTCAGCAGACACTGCTGCTGTCAATTGCAACCTACTGACTTCTTAAATAGTCCAGCCTGTTCAGCCTAGTTTCCCTACTGATGTGAAGAGACATAAACTGCATTGCTGAACGGTCCCCAGTGAAACACAATGATATGGAAATGAAAAACACGACTGATCAAGACATGGACACAGATGGTTGGCAGAAGTTGGGTCATGTTCAACTTTGCTGACTGTCTGCGTTGAGTTGTCAGAGAAGGCCCACACCCATATGCTGGAATGACAGGTGTGCAAGGACGTCCCTCTTGCTTGGGAACCATATATTTGGCAATTTTCTCCTTTTGACTGAGCAATGACGCCCCACTTGTCAACAAAACAGCTGACAGTTTATACAGAACATCAAACTAAAATACCAGTTAAGCTTCAGTATTAGAAGCTTAACTAATTAAAAAAAAAATACATCTTGAAAAAAAAAAAAATACATCTTGAAAATTCAGTATTAGACATAACTATTTGATACACAACCTTTCACAGTTTTGGATGTCATTTTGTTTATTGATTTGGTCAAATGCAGTCACACCCATTGTCATCCGTGACTATCTCCATCTTGACGTCTTGTGTGCTGCTGGCAATCATTAAAGAAGGAGACTAGGCTTTACTCCCTATGCTGTGAGAATATGTCCCAGCATTCTTTGGTTTTCTAGATTCACCAATGAGTAAGTACAATGAAGCATAGGTTTAAAAATGGCTAAGCGAAGAAGACAGACCTTGTGACTCCACCAGCTAACACCTGTGATGACGTAGCGTCCGGTGGGGTCCCACTCCACGTCTGTGGCCATGAAGTGCTCAGTCACATTCATGATGGTCATGTCAGCGGTGTCAACGAACTCAAAGGTTCCATTCATGCTGAGGGTAAAAAAACAGAGTACAGGGACTCAAAGAACAAACTGATGATCAACTCCTGAAGTTTCGTAGAAAAAGGGAGGGAAACGGCAAAAGCTCGGATACCACTGTCCTTATGGGCCAGTTACCCATGTGACAACATTCCAAGCTGGTCAACCGACTCCATGCAATACACGCATGTTGTGAACTAATGCACTGGTGCTGTGCATCCATGCACTGTGTAAGTCTTCTGCATGGGCCTCAAAGCACCATCTTTTGTTACATGGAGTCCACTGTCCTGGCCATCCAATATGGCTGGCCTGCACAACACAATTAGAGGGAATTACGACATGCGCAGTTTATCCTCGAAGATTGTCCTTTTAAAAGCCTCGGGCATAATTGGTAAGACCTCAACTGGGCATATCTTGTTGGATTTGTTGCAACCGGAAATCTGTACAAGGTGCAAGTGTATAAAGTGACGGGTATGACCTGCTCGAGTTTGTGTGCTTCATCAAGTTTTGCTTTGCGCCAATGTGACCCTCAGTGGAAACCCACTCTACCTGCGCAGTCCAGCGAGTACAACAAACTGTCCTGTTGGAGCCCAGAAGATGCAGTTGGCTTGTTTTCTCTCAAGAGTCTCTGCAAAAGACAAATGAAATTCTGAGATGTCTGCACTGGTAAGCAGGAAGCAGTGGGTTCAAATCCCACCCAAGTGAGTTTGTGATTTATTTGCGGGTCTCAGATCACACTGCGAATATGGTGTGGACGTGCACGTACAGTGGTGCAGAGGTAAAACCTAATGTGACATTACATTTTGAGATAATTGAAAAATGAATTTGCATGACTTCCCTCCTATAAAACACGTTGGTAAAGCAAAATGAAGAGAGATTCCATTAAATACAACTTGTGGTTCACGCAACACATTTCTTTCCTGCAATTTATGTACCTCCTACAATGTGTTTTGAAATACGTAATGTCTTCTGCTTTAAGCAAAATCTTTTTGTATTTTCAGTGACATTACAATACCATAAGAGAGAGCATTCTTCATTATTATAGCACAATTCTGCAACTAGATTTATTTTGAAACCATTACGACAGTGACACAATGTTCACTATAAAGAGGGGGTACATGCGCTCTACAAGCCTCTCCAACCAATAGGATGCTGTGTCTTGCCCAATGCATGAACACATCTAGATTAAGAATGTGCGTGTGAGTGCTGTGCCACCACAGTTGTGGCGTTGTCACTCTATAGCTCCCCCGTTTGAGTCACATCATCCATGCGGTGACCTTGAAGGCCGATCGCAAACTGCAATGAGGATGTGGATTTTGGAGGTCCACGGCCCCCTTGCTGCCACTTACTGACTAGCTCCACCTTGCCCTTCTCGTGGATTTTGTAGAAGCTGGCCGAGATGCGCGGTGCCTCGCCGTGCAGACAGCAGAACCGAGAGCCGACAGGCTCCCAGGCGAAGGCCGTGATGGTCTCCTTGACCTCAACCTGGTCCACCGGGATCTGTTTCTCCCGCATCCGGAAAAGTTCAAAGTTCCACAGTGACACCTGCCAATGAAGGTGACATTGGAAATCAGTCACAAAACCCTAGGTGAAGGTTGTCGTGATCCAAGAGGACCAAAAGTGGCCAGAGAACAAAGACAGATCCAGAAACAAATTTTCAGGGTGGGGAGCAAACAGTTTTTTTTGGGGGGGGAAAATTTTCTTCATTAAACTTTAATGGTCAATTTAGGGCCGGGGAGGTGGGGCTACATTTGGGGGCATTTTTCATACTTTGGGAAGCAAGGGAAGTGAAATGGGAAATACAGCCAAAAAATATCGCCTTTCACAAATTTTTATTTTCATTTTTAGGGGGCTCCTTTTTGGGGGTGTGGCCCCAGTTTGATTGAGGGAACCCTGAAAACATAGACGTGTAAGCAGAAATGCACAGCAGTGCTGTTTCTCAGCAAACAACTGGTCAGCGTCACTAACAAAATGGTGCAAGGGGTATCTGATCTTCACCTTTTTGTTCTTGTTGGTGTAGCGGTCCACTTTGACCGCCAGGTAGTCCCCTTGCTTCTGCCAGTGGATCTTGCAGTCAGCCACGTTGAAGAGGGTTTTGGCACGGAGTTCTTTGCGGGAGGGGATCTCCACCAGGGTGACCCTGGCCGGGCTCTCATTGACTTCCGGCACCCAGTAGGCCAGTACATTGTCAGCTGGGGACCAGGCAAAGTCCCTGCCAGGAGGACAAACCCGAAAACAAAAGGGATATGTCACTTGTTGCCAAAGTGATACAATAATTTGCTTTACATCTTTCCCAAACTTACTGTTTGGGTAATAATGAACTCTGCCAAGAAGGAGTCCTGGGGCTATTTTGACATTCATTTTGACATTCTAAAGAAAATGGACAATGGGTAAAATATGTTAACGGTTCCCGGCGATTTGTGATTCATATTTTCACATAGTGGGTCACAATTTATTGTGTTCCAAAATACCATTCTACAAGTACCCTGGCCTTCAGATATTTTCTTCATTGCTTGCTGTTACTGATCCCGTAACCCTTGATGGTCATAGGGCCACTGCCTGTCAACACATCGCACTAAAGCCCTCCATCTCTCACGCTTGTGCGCAAGCGCCTGAGTTTGAACAAGTGACAATCCCATCCATTCTGTAATGTTGTCGGTCCATCTCTTCCTCTGTCGTCTCCGTTTCCTTTTCCTCGGAACTGTTCCTTGGAGGATGGCTTTTGAGAGGCCACTTCCCCTATTTGTGTGGCCATACCATGTCAGCTTTCTCCTTTTGATGGTAGAAAGCAGGTCTTCTTTGGACTTTAATTGCAACATATCCATTATTCTGATTACACTGATAAGTAAAATTTGCCTATACTAGGATTGTGTAGGTATGAGGTCCATTTATAAGATGTCAAAGTACCACGTAACTACAAGGTTTCCCTGATCATAAGATGTCAAAGTACCATGTAANACAGTACCATGTAACTACAAGGTTTCCCTGATCATAAGATGTCAAAGTACCATGAACTACAAGGTTTCCCTGATCATAAGATGTCAAAGTACCATGTAACTACAAGGTTTCCCTAATCATAAGATGTCAAAGTACCATGTAACTATGAGGTTTCCCTGATATCGGCCACCATTACAGTATTAAAGCACGTTTATTGTTTGCAACTGCACGCTTTGTGAAAAGAACTAAACAGTGATGCTTATTTCCACATAAAATTTCAAATGACCAAACAGTCACAACTTTTCACTGTTCCGATCCACTGCTGGGTGCTGACTCTGCATTCATACTATTTAAGAAGCTCCAAAGGTGTTTGTAATATGTAAATACTGTGCGGTTTGGTGTTGTTACTCAACAGTGGCAGGTGTACGTTATGTTGAGTCTGTGAGAGTACCCAATTTGGGGGGCACCATGGAAATGCTGAATTGAATTTGAATTATAACGGTGTCCTGGATTGTTCTTGGAACAACCAAGATGTTAATTTTTTTTTTTAGTTAGTTAGAGGAGGACATTTATTCAATGTTGTCATTGTGACACAGATTAGCTACACAAACGTACATTTGTCACAGATAAATATAAATATAATATAAATATCGTTAATATTATCATAGTGAAATAACATTCATAAGAAAATGACAACATTTAGGTGTTAGGTTAAGCAGACAGATGAGGAGGCAATCAGAAAAAAACCATGCAGTGTGAGACAAGGGCAAGATGCTTAACCCTAACCCTCCTCAATCCTCCAACAGGTGAAGGATTCAGGAGGGTTAGGGTTAATTAAAAGAGCACTTCAGAAAAATTACGTATAATTACTCATTTTTCTCTAAAAATTGAGTTTTGAGTTTCTTTACAAAAACAGGTAACGAGAGCAGATAGTCGCAATTGCTCCCCCTGCTTACCTGATATCTGATATCTTCATGCTCTTCTTCTCCAACAGGCCAAAGGACGGCGTCTCGTAGATGCTCAGCATGTCCGGAGATTGCTTGGCAAAGTACGTACCATCATGACTCCACCTGCGATGAAAGCAATGTCAGAAAATGGACAACTTTCTACAAGGGCTCACAGAGCCACGAGCTCATGACATAAATGCCTGTCGGTTGCAGCTCATATTACAGTCCAGTAGTAACAAATGCAATTAGGCAAATAATGCAAAAATTACCTTCTCAAAGCCACAACACCAGTCCCAGCTCACAAGACTTAACCATATCTCTTTAAGTTTTGACTAAATTCCCTGAAGTAAACCTTGCCATATCAACTCCAGTTTACTACTCATACATCAGTCTTGTGTAATCAATGTGTTGATGCATACAACACTATCACTGTATGAAGCTAAACATCAAAATCCTCAAACACTCCTTGAATTTGTTCATTGGAGCGGTGACCAGTGCCTCAATCCTTCAAAATACTCCATCCATTCCTGTCGTTATGTTGAGGCAATTCAAATGGTATGCTGGAGCAGCGTGGATGATTTCGCCTTTAATCTAGACATGAATTTGTGCATGGCTAAAACAACACAAGATTAAACAAGACGAGATCTAACCCAAGACGTTGACACAATGTATCCTTTGCAATCAGCGCATTTTTTTGCCATTCTGCATCAATCCTCCAGAATCCTGCAAAATCTCCTGAGGATTTTGGAGGACTGAGGCAGGTTAGAGATAAGTCTTGTGTGGAACAAGGTCATTTGCACCACGGCAAAGTAGGCCACTGGAGGGCTCATGTAATACACCGTATTCATGTGCCAGCCATCTTGAATTGAAAGTGAGGTAAAATATGGGGAGCCTGTGAGTAAAACTAACAGGGACAAAATAAAAATTCGCACAAATCCATGCCAGCTTTTGTTTAGACTAATTTAAAGCTTGTGACAAATTATATCTAAACATTTAAATCAAAATGGCTTCCCCTTGAATGAGGTCTACTGCTTACTTGAATATCGGCCAGTGTGCAGCACTCTCGCAATGGAAACCCCTCTTCTTCTTGCCTGTCCGGACGTCCCAAATGATGATTGCCTGAGGGTCATCTCTCATGTCAATCACAGGACTGAAGGTCACGAGATACCTGGGGGTGCGAACGAGACAACACAATCATTGCACTCCAAACGCCGTATTAAAATGGAAATGTTCATGTGATGAATACACGAGGGTGGTGAAATTTCCTGAGGGGAGGAAAATTGTCCTGACAAAGTTTTGAGGTGTCACACGGTTGTCTAAAGACTCATCCATTTTTGCTATCCTTGTCAAGGGTGTACAAATCATACCCTCCTCTGACCCCCCTCCCACCTTCCAAAACATATGCAAGAAAAGGATGATGGCTGACTGACCATTCGTCAAGTTTATGAAAGCATACACAGACTGTACACTCCTCCCCTCCTAGCATGCATTTTGTATGCTTACAAAAGGGATGGGAAAAAATGGATGCCTTTTAGCCATTCTATTTTCTCAAGTCTTCCAATCCCTCAATGAAATCCAGTACATCGTGGTTGTTTTCATTTTTGACATTTTGCAAAGAGAGGTTTGTCAGGGACTGCAGTCATTTGCAAAAGCTTAGGGCCACCCATAGAAAATGTGTTAACCTGAAGGAAAACTGAACTTAAACCAATCAATCATGGCAACTTATGTTTATTTTCAATGTGTAACCTTGGTTAAACATTTTGATTACATTTCCATGATTTGACTGTTAACAGTCTAATATTCAGTGTGCCCTCCCTTATTTCTGACTGCTTAGACTGGCTTTTTTACCCATGCTGCCTTACAGACAAAATGTCATACAAGACCTGCCTTTGCAAAAAATTTCATTCAAATGGGTATACAGCACTACACTTATGTTATGCACCAATGTAAAATCATGTGAAGTAATCAGTCAATGAGACAATGTTATGCAGGCCCAGTGATAGAAATACCAATAAAATTTCAGGTGGTCTTAAACTTTTGCAAATGACTGTATACAGATGTGCACTCCAACTTTCCAGAGGAATCAATTCCCATGGAAAGCAGCACTGGCTTAGCCAAATATTCCTCAATCCATAAAATCTTTCAAATCCTTAGTGGATTTTGAAGGATCTGGGGGCTTATGGAATCTCATTCAAGAGGATCACGCTCTTACCTCTCGCATGGTGAGAAGTCAATCAGCTGTACACCTGTGTGGGCAAATCTCTTGATCTGTTCAAACTTGGGACCACCCCACAGCGCTATGCCTCGATGATGGAACGTAGCAAGGTACGTGCCCTGTGGTGACCACCTCACATATGTCTCAGTCCATTGCTACTCAAATTAACAACACAAAACTCCAGGTTACTGCAGGTGTTGTGACACTTTGGATTTGGGTTCAAGTACGTATGGTATAGTATTTCAGTGAAGTGTGTTATATACCGCATTTTAAGCCTCCTATGCTGAAGTCACTCTTTGGGTCACTTGATAAACATCTCAAAGAAGCACAGCTGTGTTGTGTTGTGCACTGCACCAACAGACCCTCACAGGAATATCAGATTGCACTTTTGTACTGCCCAACAACTGTGCTTCACTGTTCCATGTGCATAATTTGCAGTAAACTAAATGCAGTGAAGAAGACTGCACAAAAGACCCTGGGTCATTTTGTGCTGCCAATCTACTGTGTACACACTAAACCTGTGCATGTTTGTGTTCCATATAGAAAACACATGCAAGAGAGTGACTGTGGGCACTAGTGCATATTTGTGCTGTAAAAAATGGTTAAGAAAGTTACTCCAGTATGGGTACTGCAAAGGAGAGTCTGATGTTGAGGTACACCTATGGAAAAACATTCAAGTGTGATCACCTGTCAAAAAATCTGCCACACAAGCGTTTGCTTTGAAGTCACAGATCATGTATCCTTGTTTTTGCTCAGAATAGGAACTGGTCTTACTACACCAATGAGAGATTGAGAACAAATTTTGTGTTTAAGTGTCTATCAAAATTACTGTGCTTCTGCAAACAAATACAAAATAGACTGTGCCTAAAAGGAAAACTTATGGTTTAGAAAAAGATACGAGAAAGTATGTGTTTACCTTTCTCTCTTCTACGACAGATGCTTCTGAAGATGTATTCAGGAAGATAGCTGTTTTCTCTCCGCCGTCAAAGATGACACTGTATTGGTCATTGCAGTCAGCTTCTTGAAGCCAGTACCTCAGGTTGCCCTAGTGTGGAGACATGCAAAAAAGAAAAAAAAAAATGCCAAATCTGCCCCGAGTTCAAGTGCGCCCTCACCGGCGAAGGAGAGACAGGCTGGTGGGAAGTTTTTCAGCTGAGTCTATGTATGTGCCCGGCGCAAGTGGTAAGACCATACAATCCAACATGAATTGGTTGCACATCCTCATCGCGCTTGGCGCCACACGCGTGTGAACATGCGCACTCACGGGAGATCATCATTTCCACGTTCAAACACACCCTCTCTTGTTCCCGCTTGAGCGGACTGGACAGACAGGCAATTCACAAGGGAAGTATCAGGTATGATTGCTGATGACAGGTCAGGCTTCACACATAGCAAATGATCCAGCTGTTCACAGAATAATGAGTCTATGGCCGTGCCCAAAACGTAATTCAAGAGCTACGGCTAGGTCTATTTTCTGCCCGTCTCCGCACATTTCCTATGGAGCAAAGACCTAGACCTAGCTCTAGACAACAGATTCGGATGCAGCCTAAGGCTGACAGATGCTGTGAATTCTGCCATCATTGTTGGTGCATGATGAGATCAAGCTGGACCTAGAGAGGGTGCTATTTCCTTAGCAACGGAGGCTCTTTTGGTCAGTAGCTTACTGGTTCATGAACAATTAGGAAATGCACGCATCACAGTCGCATTGCTACCAACAAAATGAACACTCCCAACCAATGTGGCTCTTTTCAACTGGTGAGGGGGTGCTTCTGCTCAAAGCAGACAGACAGTGGAAATCCTCAATAAATTGAAAAGCATAAACTAGGTAGAAACTGAATTCATTTTCAATTCTGCTTTAGCTCTGGTAACAAAGATGAACCGGCATCAACCTGTTCCTTTTAAAGTAATAACCCAGACTCCTGCTCAGAAACTATAATGCACCAATTGCAAACCGTTCAGTTGCTACATCACCCTTACTCACTTTACTAGGAACTTGCTGGGCTCCTCCACCATTTAATGCCGTGCTGCAAAACAATTGGCATGTTCCTTGCACGCGATTTTCGAGAATCAAGCCTCGTGTAACAGTGGCTAGGTTCTATCCTCCTGAGTACTGCAAATACCTCAGAAGTCTTGAGTGGGATCCCATGCTACAGGAGTGTCTCAAAATTTGGATAATCTTTTTGTGAAAAACCCTTTTCTAAAACTTTCCCGTACAAATGCCACAACATGTTGATCTCACAAGCCTTAAATCAGTGGCTATATGCTCCCGGCCCAGAGCCACAAAGGCACGGGCACGCAAACCATTTCCTATTATATTTGTTAAGTGTCTGATCTGCATGCCACAAAATGAAATTGACGATTCTATGATGCTGCTGGACCACGAAATAAGCAGAAACTGGTTTCAGGGAAGATACGTTAAAAAAACAGCTCAGTTCAGTTCAAAAAACAAGCGGAGAAGTCTGATTCCGCAAAATCACTTACAAAATCTTTGTACGGCTGGGGATTGGGTGGCTCCCATTTGTCATCAATCTGAGTGTATCTGAAGGGATAAAAATAGTAATTCATTAAAATACAACATTGATAAATATATATTTAATTGAGCAAAGTATAAGCATGTCTCACGCAGTTATTCCAGGTTTCTTTTAATAAAACACAAATTTTTTTCACCTGGCAAAAACCAAATAGAAGCCTGTCTTCACAATAAAAACATCAAGGGGGCAATGTCTTTTCAAGATGACAAATTACTTGAAGGTTACGTTGCCAAATTTTTTGTTGGATTGGCAAGATACAAGCATTAATTAAAGAAGGAAAGTGTGACACTTTACAAGCAGTTCATACATTTCATGCAGTTGAACATTTCTTCTCCACGAATCTGGATGTACTGAATGTTTGTCTGAACAGAAACTGAGTGTCCCAACACCCGCTAACACTGTGGTGACGTTGACAGCGCAACTTACTTGTCTATGTCTGAGAACAGGTTTACGGCAAATGTATGCGTCTTGTCTAACCGGTATCCATTCATCTGTTTAGCGGCCTCAATGGCGTTCGCTGGTGAGGAAAACTCCAGGAAAATAAACCTGTTAGAAAAGGAAGGGAAATATGTAAAAAGAAAAGCATAATACGCTTATTTTACATCGGAATTTGTTTAATGTAAAAAACTGTTTAGAAAGGGACATGTATGTAGTTATGATTTTTTTCTTAAACTCGATTAGTACCCTAAACAGATTTAAACACTTCACATTGAATAACACGTAAATGGGGACTTCCTGTGCCGATGACACTGGGAACATTTAAATACATCAAATTCCATATGCCGTACTGGGTGACGTCCACACTCGTCCCCAGGCTTGAGTGATTCCCAGTGAGTCTGTTCACACACAGAGGTTTCAAATAATCCATGCTGGTTGAGAGTATGTGGCACCCTCAGGCAACTGTGAGTCAAAAGCACTCTCAAAAATACTCTGAAATTAGAGTCCCAAACTCTCTTCATTGAATTTCTTCTGACCTTTCTTTGCAAAGATCTTTGGAATCTTTAGTTTTTGGTCACTTCATTGTATAGGGTGTCAGCCTTCCACCTTATACCTCCAACTTACCCTTTTGTGGTGCCGTTGTCCTCTGGGTAATGTTCGGTGATGATGTCACCAAACTTGCTGAAGATTCGGCGGATGACATTTTTCAGTTTTGGGAGCCTGTCCTGGCCAACATTCGGGACGTTGTCCACCACAATGACTGAGTCGCTGCCGATGGCCTTCTGGGGCCTGAGCTTCAGGATGTCACCGAGCAGTTCTGTGAAAACAGAAAAAAAGAAAAGTTCTTTCTTGACATAGCCAAAGGCAGCGTCCATTATGGTTGCCCTAGCCCCCAAGCTGGTTTTAAACGTTCCAGTATAAAACAAACTCATCACAATTTTTTCATAAATACGATAAAATCTTCTGGGGTGGAAAAGTAAAAACAAATCGAAAATTTCCAAATGATTTTGTTCATCTCAGCTACATTATGTCGTATGGACCCTCGTCAATGGTGTATGAGCCTTGCCTATGCCACACTAAAAATCCCCTTATGTAGAAATTGGCACATGTGGCGCTTGCTGGGTGAAATGACACAGAACGCAGATGAACTGATGTGAAGTGAAATTACTATGTAGTGAAACCAACCAGTAACGAAATGTTCTTAATAAAGTGAGTTTTAATCAAGCCTCGGTTATTACTCTATTAATCACAAAGGAGCTGGATCCCAAACAAAACAAGACTGCTGTTTGCACAAATTAGAGCTACATGTAGGTAAAATACCAGCATTTTGTACCTACATATGTAGTATGTAAAACAAATGTATTTACATGTGGTGGATGCCATGTTGTTCAATTGTTAGTTATTTTATGGAGGTATGAGCAAATTCCTGTGAACTCTACACTGTCAAAATTTAGAGTTCGGTTTAAAACCTGATACGCACTTCACCCTTGGTACATGCATCTCTGAAGGAAGCGTCTTCTCTGTAGGTACATGTACATGCAGGTGCCATGCTACTGTTAGTAATTTCAATCAAATTACTTGATTTAAGTTTAAGTTAAATTTGTTTAATTTTGTAACAAGAAATAAGTAAAGGAAAATGAATACATATGCAGCTAATTCGTTTGCTTTGGAATACATCATTTCAGGGGTGTGATTTTGGGAAAATGAAAACTCCGCATAACATTCGTCGGAGGGTTTTGCAAGTCGCGTTGGCCACAGCTTCCCAACAATTCGCAGCATATCCATTTGAATATAGGAGGAGATTCAGGTAATACATATAAGCCACAACAAGAGCTGTTCTTACTTTGAGGGATACAATAACATTTACTGCCACAAAACCCTTGTCCTCATTCACTTCAATTGCAATTACACATATAAGCTATAACTGGTGACAATCAAAGACCTAGAAGTGTAATACACACACATGCAGTTATCAGTGATCCACAATCACAATTTATTAAAACTGAAAACTGTCTCATACAGATGAGTACTGCATTACTTGTGACACCACATGCACTTGCTGTACCCAGGTTTGTTGATTTTCAGGAGAAAGTTACGATAATATATTGATTTCCCCTTGGTTAATTCTCTGTCCACCTCGGTTTCCAGCCAGGAAAATTTCCAAGAATTCTTGAATCCTTTGTCAACATTCAGATCCCCTTCCCTACCTACTACTTTGTATGACATTTTTGACGGACGTCAACGACATCAGACCACCACGAGAACGAAACCAAATGGCAGATGGATGCAAGTCGTACACAGTGCATGCAACGACAACATGTGTACTGTACATACACACACAACGAACGTACAGTACATGTACATACAACGATCACACCGCTGGCCTGGGTCCCTATGTTTTAACAATGATACCCCGTCTGTTCAATGTACTATTACCTATGTATCTGGTGCATTTCCAGGGAGAGTAACAATGCAATGCTATACACCTAAACTTGTGCAAGTCTTTCGCTCAGTTTCGCACCAAATAATGTAGTCTTTGCTTTACATATTGAAAGCACTGACAATATGGAAATCCGGAATGTCTCACAGAAATTCCGGATAGTCTCACAGAAATTCCGGAAATCCGGAAAAATCTTGACAAATCACACCCCTGAATTTTGTGGAAAACTCTCCAATTTCTTGTACAAATTTTTAAAATCCAATTTAAATTTTAACAAAATCTTGATTTTATTTTCTTAATAAAAAATCCTCAACCTGTTAATCACTAAAGGTGTTACATCTTTGTTCCCCCTAGTCGCCAACCCGTAAACATTCCTAAAACCATCTCACTTCACTCAGACTTGACCAAGTTGGGATCCTCAGTGACGTCTGTCTGTGAAGTTTATGATTGGCTGTGAAGGTTTTTTTTACTGCCGCAGCAGTACTTGCTTTGCGCCCTCTTATGTCCACTTATTACTGTGAGTTCAGAAATTTTGACTTAACGAATCTGTCAACCGTTTGTACACAGCAAATGGGCTCATTTACCAAAAGTGGTAGCAGCCAATCACATTGCCGGACTTGTTTTTACATCGTTCATGTATGTTATGAAATATGAGTTGATTTTGTGTCTGTGAAAGTGAAACAGATGAACGCATTGTGTACGCAGCAAACCCAAAATATGCATATGGAGAGGCGCCTCAAGATTACTTTGACGCAAATCTTCCCATAATGCAGCGCAGCATATTGCTGGACTGCATACTTCCGGTAATCGAAAGACATGCCGCGCCAATCGATGTCCACGCAAACATACGGACGACGCATTTTGTAAAAAGACGGAGTTTATTGGCACATTACCATCATCTTTCACGTCATCGACGTAGTCCTCAGGGTCGCTAAAGTTGGGCTCTGCTTCATCACCGTTCTGATCTGCCTCATGCTGTGCATTATCGTGAGATTTCTCCATTTTTCGGCCTGTCTGCCGATCTTTCTCTGCGTTCCCCTCCGCCATGACGTCGTGCGCGCACATGGACTGTGACAAGAATCCCCCAAGTCAGTGATTGTTTTACAATCGTGAAAGTGGCAGGTAGAGGGCGCTATGAAACATTCGCGCCAACTGCTGCCTTTTACGCGAGCCCTGGAGGGTCCAGTCCACTAATTCAAGCCCCATT